GCCCACGCCAGGACTTGGGGAGGGGGGCGTGAAGATGTCTGCCACAGAAGATAAGCCAGCTCTATGTACATAGACTCAAACAAGGATCGAGGGATACGGATCACGCTCAGCGTTCGCCGGTATTCGTGATGTATCAACCCATACACATTTCTGTAGGAGGTCCCTATGATAGAAGTTCTTTTGATCAGCGACTGACCTCATGGAGTTGTTATTGGGCCTACCGTATAAAAAGGCTTTACCGTAATGTATCAGGTGTAGAGAGTCATGGTTGTCATCGAATGTGTTCAGATCTGACTGTACACAGACCGTTCGAGAAGCTCTACTATGAGATCGTTAGATAGGACATAGTACAGCTTCCATGGATCAAGCCAATTTGACACCTCACCTTGGTAGAGGGTTTGCGTGCCACGGTGGATCTATTGGAAGCCTAGCCGAAACCGAGTGATATACGTTGTCAGTGTAAGCTTTAACTAAGGAAGGGTGGTACTCACGTATTGAAGTCCTCGTATATCAGTCCTAGAGAAAGAGTGTTATCAGTGAGAGAAAGATAGTCTTGAGCTGATGGCTGGGCACACTTACAAGTATAGACAAAAGAAGAGATCAAAGTCAATCTTCGCAAATGACATGTGCGAGGAGAGATGCAAGAGGAAAGTCAAGCAAGACGGGTGGGAGCATATTTATACCCTCCAGGGCGGAGTGCCTTGTCTTTCGCTTGGATCAAGAGTGGCAAATTGTCAGACTTTTTGATTATTTCTAGGCAAGAGGAAAAACGGCATACCAGCAAGCGGTTTTCTGCGCTCAAGCAACATGGCTACTCACCAGTGGTGAGCAAACAGGAGCAGCAAAGACCAAATGACAAAAAATTGACAAGGATTAAGATTCAGGTAGACTGCGGCCAGAAAATGCCACCAACAAAGTAGAGCAGTGGCTAATTGAGAGACCAGAGTTCATTCACCAGCGGATTCAGTTGAATCAACAGCGATGGGCAAATATGAGGCGTCCCAAGAATGTGCGGAATGAAAAATTGGTAGTTATCCTTGAAATAAAGTACGAGTCCCGGTCACTCAAATTAGGGATGACCGAATGAGGTCGTAAACTTTATTCACTCGCGAATCAGTTGACTCAACGGGGATGAGCAAACAGGAGCTTCATCAACAATATTTGGAATGACAGATACTTGTTGAAAAGTGAAAGTTGAGGCGAGCACCATGAGGTCCTCGTTTTAATTCCTGACTTGACTACTTTCCTGACTTTTCTCTCACCCATTAAGTAGCGGAAAAATAAATACCTACAAACAACAAAAATGGATTTGCTCGCTCCGCTTCTACAACCTTTGTATGGACGGACAACGAGAAGTGAACACAGCACATAATACACGCCCTGGAGGAAACGTGAAAGTTGCCGTTGCTCTTCAAACAGAATGCGAACCTTGGGCAGCCCAAAGTGGCAAGACCACAACAATGCAAGCTGTTCAAGTTGAGCCAACACCGGGTACCTTGGATCTACACCGGCGCGGCCCGTGGGTCGAGGTGGGACCATCATATCCACTCTGATGCCTCAACGTTGAGTGAACGACAGTGAATGATCAGCGAGGAAAGCCAGAAGCCCTCAGAGAATGATGGTGAATGAGAGATTGCTCAGTTTTGTGCGACATCCGAAAACTCTCCACAGCGTCCTTGGAATCGCTTTCCATTACATTTCGGCCGTTCCAGCAAAAAGCACCGCTCCTCAAGTAGCGGGTGCTGGGCATACACTACTCTACGAAAGACACAAAAGTGCGTCCCGCCAAAAGTTGAGAATTGGAGACAGTTATTCACTAAATTAATATGCCATGGGCTTTTTGATAGTAATGCCATAATCAGAGTATATTGACAATCACCAACTGAACTCAGAGCTCTCTGCAGCCTCTCCGCTGCCAATCTTGGTAAAATAATATCAGCCCTTAAGTAGAATATGTGGACAAGTGGGACTCTGCACAAGTCCAGTCATGGATCTATGGAAGGAATACCCTTGTATAGCAATCATGTAGGCGTTCCTTCTCGGAATGTGCAGCAAATACAAAACCTGTCAAGCAGTGTGCCTCTTGAACTTCACAATAAGCCGCCAGAACTTGGGCATAGTCAATCGGAGGTGACATGGAAGCCGCACGCAATTTCGATGGGCCTCTTCAAAGTAGACCAATGGCCTAACCACAGTCCTCCACAATACAGTAGCACTTTCGCACGCGCATAATCATTCTGAGGACCTTCATTCTGACTCACTTCCCTGAGGTCACCGTACGACTACTGTGAACCATGGGCGAGCCAGCTCTTTGCCCTCCGATTGCAACTGCTCCAATTTTGTGATTCGACCAGCACTTTCTGTGAGTCAGGAATACTACACACCCAAATGGAATGAACGGTCGTGGTGCTGTCTGCCGCGACATGATTGGCGATCCATTCGCCAGCATCGTCCAGCTCATGGTTCAAGACCGGTGAAGACATTGCATCGACCGCCAGAACCGTCCCCGGTGAGAAACCTGCACTGCTGGTATTTGCGAGAAAGCGTAGCTGAAGTCTATAAAAGCAGGCTCCTCCCCCGATCCATTTCTCTTTCTGCACACATCGCGGCCGCGGTGTGTCGCCTCTGACCTTCGGGCCTGAGGTTTCCGTGACGACGGCTGTTGCTGATCCAAGCCCAGTGACATAAGAACAGTGCTTCGCAGGGGGGCGCTGCGTTACCAAGTGAACTCCGCAGGGGGACGCTGTGATGACAATTGAGACCCGCAGGAGACCGCTGCGTCAATAAGTTCTCCGCAAGGAAAAATGCGTCACCAAGAGGATCTGCAGGGACATCTGCGAAACCAAGAGTCTCCGCAGGGACATCTGCGATAACAAGAGTCTCCGCAGGGACATCTGCGAAACCAAGAGTCTCCGCAGGGACATCTGCGACACCAAGAGTCTCCGCAGGGACATCTGCGATAACAAGAGTCTCCGCAGGGACATCTGCGAAACCAAGAGTCTCCGCAGGGACATCTGCGACACCAAGAGTCTCCGCAGGGACATCTGCGAAACCAAGAGTCTCCGCAGGGACATCTGCGACACCAAGAGTCTCCGCAGGGACATCTGCGAAACCAAGAGTCTCCGCAGGGACATCTGCGACACCAAGAGTCTCCGCAGGGACATCTGCGAAACCAAGAGTCTCCGCAGGGACATCTGCGATAACAAGAGTCTCTAGCCTCTGCAGGCACCTCTTCGTGGTGCTAGTGATCAGTACTCGTCATCGATGACGGGGAAGCCAAGGCCTGCACATATCCTCTAGAAACAGTGAATAGTTTTAGTTTTACCGTATGCAGCTCCATTACAAATCAGCTGTTGTTTACTAGAATCAGTAAGAGGCATAGTAGCTAGTACGGTGTTTCCTTGCGCCAATGGTGTTGAATAGAGTGGCATAACGTAGCACCCAAAGATATGGCATTGTTGCATGGGTGGTGAATAACGGGCCAAGGTTTATAGTGATTACTGGCGAAATTTTCAAGGTTCCCAAGGGGTTAACGGTGATTCAACGTCGTTGGGCTGGACGGATGTTTTAATGCGGACGAGTGAAATCTTTGATCTGGTGTTGAATGATAGTGTTATAGATGATTCAATGTGGTCGGGTTTAAGTGAGGAAGTTGATGCAAATAGGGGCTGGCTGCGAGTGCTTGATGAGATCCATTTCCTGTGGGTTGATACTGTATTCGCATTGACGGTCATGAAACGCGGTGGGTGCGAGGGTTTTGTTGAAATCTCTCGGGGAGTGTCCGCGATGGCTGATAATGTTGGCTCATATTGATGACCGGCCGTAGCGAACACTCATGGTCAATCAAAACGGCGATCATATCTTATCGGTGGCTGAGCGCGGCGGAAGCGAAGATTCATGGTGAATGACGAGGGAGTGTTGACGACCACCGGTGACGGTGACTCTCAAGGGACCAGTTTTGTTGACTGACCGAGCTTAGTTTCCAAGGCGGTGAGGGGCAATGATGCGCATTGGCCAATCACAGTAACCTTCCCGGGTTTAACTCAAGCGAAACCCTCATTTTTTGAAGTTATTAAAACTGCTAGGGTGCTTTCTGCCTTAAGATTATTTAATCTAGTTTGGACATATTCACTAGATCCCCTCAATTTTCCGTGTTGCTTTCACGTGAGCCCTCTACCCACGCCTTCAGTCATATTCCCCTTTTAGGAGTTTCGAACGCAAACCTGCACCTGTGATTATGACCTGATGACTCTATATTGTTGTCTGCCGAAGAGATTGAGTGGTATCTTAGCGCTAGCTCTGACATCATCATCACACCTAAGGCTCATGCATGGAGCCAAATGATGAGACACATCTTCCAAAAAGCGGCAATATTTTCCACACCGGAGCAAGAATAAAGATAGACAAAAAGTCAATTCGCTGAACCCGCGATGCCTTGGTCAAACCACCCGAGCGCATAATGACGACACCTCGATTCCTCAGAATATCATGCAAAAACAAGGGAAAGACTACGCATATGGGGCAAAGCTCCGAAGGAGCCTTTGCACCCTCATTATCACATCCAAGTATCCGTCGGTCCAATCTTGAGGATTGATGCTGGATACGGTGAGTATGAGCCCAAAAACCCATGCAAAGCGAGATGCCTCTCAGCAAGTGAGCGGGCAGTGGCTTTCTCCTTTTCATTCCATATTCCTGCGGAGGCAAAAAGGAAGGGGTTGGGTTGCTCCAAGCTCAGATTTAGCTGCAAGAGACTACATCCTAATGCCTAAGCTGATTTATGGCCAATTCTTTGTCCCCTTGTAGGACACCTACTTATCGATCCCGTATTATGCTACTTCATACTTGATTCGGCACGAGAGCCATATATTGTGAGGCGTTCCATGGGCCGTACTAGAGGCTGGATCATAGGAAATTATAGCATTGATTGATGGTAAGTAGACACATGTATCCATGTCGAGTACATGTAGGCTCTTACAAACATATTTGTGACCGTGATCGACTTATCTACCTTCCTTGTTGCCAGCATTCACTCTGCAAGATCGCATCAACTCTAATTCTCCTTTGAGGCTCTTGACTTCTATCGCGAGGGCCTCAAAATGATCCTTAGTCTGCACAATCTGAGAGGAATACCCTCCGCTGCGACGAATTTGTCGTTCGTCTGGCTTGACTTTTCCACGAAGTGACCTATTGTTCGTGCATTAGTCCTGCTGCTGACAGGCCGGTGTGTATGAGACGAGCCTTCATGATTGTACTGGTACATACCTCTTTCGCCTGCTCGGCCTGTGTCATAAATTAGCAAGAGGCCTGGGGTTTGGGGCGGCAGCGATAATGGAAACTGACCAGCTGGCTGTTTTCTTTTCCGGCCCGCACCCAGATTCCTTCAACGAGTCTTGTGAAGCTGGCTCAAAACGCACTCTTCCGAGAGGTCTATCCTCCGATTTATCTCGGTGTGATGAGGCACGCTCACGGTTCTTGAGTATCGAGCCGTGTATCTTCTGAGGCGACACTGCGCGTCGCATAGAGATCCTGTCTCGTTCGGGGGCCTGAATCAAATCCTTAAATTCCGCAAGCAGGGCTTGCTTGCGGCTCTCAGTAGGCGGCCTGTCCGGTGGAGTCATCGCGAAGAGGCTGTTGGGTTCAAAAAGCGAAAGAAACAAGAGTGATTACTGTACATTGAAAAATTTTGCAAGAAGGAGAGAATTGAAGACGAGCGGTCCAAATTTGCTGGTGGAATTTAGGCGAGATGCACAGAAGGGGACTAAAATTAGATCTCACTAGCCTTTCCATGGAAAGACAGACTGGTGGAGGCTGGCTTTGACGGTGATTCAACGCGTTGAGAACTAAGCTTCCGTTGATACCACTCGGTGAGTGACTGATCCTGGTGACCGACCATAGTAAATGCTGATTTTCGACAAAACATGGGCTATCTAATTGCCTCAAGTAATTGGCCCTCGTCAGGACTATGGCGATACACAACTGCCCTTGTACAACATTCTGCTTCATGAAGGCTTGAATGCCGTCGGCGTTGATACACGATTTTTGCTCATAAACGACTATGTTCATACACGCCACTTGTCACACACGACTTCACCCAAAAAATATTTTGTTCATAAACGGTTCTGCTCTTACGGCTTTGTCATTGAGACTGCTGAATTTGTTCCCTTAATTCCAGATGGCAAAAATTGATCTTCCTCCATTAGATCATTTTTCACATACCAGCTCTTTCTCCGGTGAGCTTGGACTGCGACGTTCCCAATCTACCCATTTCTCGTCTTTCCCCGTACGGACTTGTTTTCTGTCCAAGACGCTATTCCTTACAAAACAAACAAAACAATTCATTAACGCCCGGCGGCTGAGCCGAAAGGGCAACTATCACTGATCTACTGTACATGTCCATCTGTGTGTGCTGGGTCTCTTGCAAGCCCATACATGAAACTTTATAAAATATGACATTTCCAGAAAGCAGTGTCGCAGTGAGTTTCTCGTGGGTTAGTAAGTGGGTTAGTAGGCTGGCTTGAAGGCGCTTCTCCAAGTGTTCAACATCCTTTCTTCGGCAGTTGAAGCGCGTCTACCGTTTGTAGCACGAGGTGGTGGGTGAGTAGGGTCGGAAGAAGGGGGTGGGAGTTTTGTTGGTCGATATTTTCAAGTGGCCTCAAGTCGGCCCGTCGCTATGGCGAAACGTATGGAGGCCCGTACTGCCTCTAGGTTGGTGTCCACTTCTGATCATCAGAAGTCTGTTTTCCGCCCAGGAAGAAGGATATATTTCCTCGGTGAGTCTGCGTGCATTGTAACATTTCCGTCCGGTGCGCCGTCCACTTCCGACATCGGAAGAGGAAGTGCTCCACGGTCTCTCTTGCTTGTCCGCAATCGCATTGATCCGTCTCTACAACATTAATTTGATTGAGATATCCATTGAGTCTAGCCATACCGGTTCGGAGCTGGGCCAGTACGGTCGCTTCTTTCCACGTTAGGCGATCATACAACTGCCGGGTGTGTTTGCCTGGCAGTGCAGCATCCACTCGTTTTGCGTGTCTTCCTACGTTCTGTGGTAGTTCATTGGTGGGGACTGCTTGGGATCGCGCAATATTCAATGTGGTCGACTTCATCCTCGGGACGCGTTCTTGTGGGAGAGAATCTTCTTGTGTCGCAGCTCTGGCCTGTTCTTTAGCCCGACCTAACAGTTTGTTGTCTTCGCTAGTAGGGATCCAGTGGGAACTGATCCGATTTCCATTTCTCCGCAACCTTCTCATCAACTTGTACATCTGACAGACAAACTCCTGGCCAGACTGTCGTCGGGGGTGCATTAGCGTGAGGGCCGCCGCTTTGTTGCTTGTGAGCAACGTAATCCTGTAGTCTTTCATTCCCACTACCATCTTCAACACATGTGCCATAGCTGCCAGCTCCGCAGAGAACGGGTTTTGCTCTGCTCTCACGCCCAACGTGATGGAAAACGTTTTGAGCTTCACTTTTCGATTTCGAGGTGGCTGTTTCTCGATTGCGACTCCAAATCCCACCAGCTCGTTCCGTGCCGAGCTGCTGACCGCGATCTGCATCGATCCGCCCGCTTCCGTCTGAGGCTCATGTTGTCCGTCAATATTGGCCTGTACGCGTTCGTCCCATGGGGCCAACGTGAATGGGTTAATTGTTTCCAGGGTCTCCATGTCGATGTGCCTAAGTGCATCTGCCACGTGGTACAGCGGCGAGCGATGATATCGTCTGAACTTTCTGATCCGGCCTGTACCTCTGCGGAGTGGGTTTGTTTCAGGAAGGGTATGCATGTCCGTCCACATCTTCACGGCCCGTCTCCAGAATCGGTTCCGCGCGGTGGCAATATGGGCCTCCGCCTCCGCTACGCTGGTCGCGACCGTGAGGAATGTCCCCACAATGGCTTGTGCTCCAACTCTTTGGACTCGATTGATCGGCCCCATGGCCTTGTCCTTACACGCGTGCATCCAGACATTGGAGGCGTAGTCCACAACTGGCGCCACCGTTGATGTGAATAACTGCCGCGCCGTTGCTGGGGACAGGCCGCGAAGTCGCCGAAGCTCCATCGCTGCCTCCAGGCCCTTGGACGCGGCCCTCGCCATATGTTCCTTGTATTTCAGTCTCGTGTCCATCAACAAACCCAGGATCTTGACGTGGTCTTTGGGTACAACCAGCTGTCCCTTGATGGTAAACGGCTCATGGTCCGATTTACGCGTCTTGGGAGCAAAGTGTATAATAGCTGTCTTCTCGGCTTCAAAGGTCGCACCGCTTCTCCTTTCCCAGTCGAGTGCTTCATTGATAATTGCTTCAATTCCTTCCCGGTTACTCTGCGCGGTTGGTCCGGTCACCCATGCGGTAAAATCATCCACAAAAGCGACTGCTCCCCCCTGGCTGTCGATCTGTCTTTGTACAAGATCTGCGTTGAAAAAGAGGAACAGGATCGGAGATAGGGGCGAGCCCTGGGGGAGACCAGCTTGTGGCAATCTTCGAGCCTCAGAATGTTGCCCGTTGATTTGGATGGTAGCCGTTCGTTCCGAGCAGAACGCTTGGACCCACCGGAGCAAGTCCTCTGGTATGCCTCGTGCTTTCATCCTCTGGAGAAGTCGTTCTTTGCGCACTCCGTTGTAGGCACCTTTCACATCGAAGCTGATTAAGCTCAACACTCGTCGGCCACGCCATGCTGCGTAGATCTGCTCTTGAAGAAGCACGAGCGCTTGCTCCGCGGATCGCTGCTTTCGGGCGCCGAAGTGGCTGGTCGGGAGCAATCCGTGCGTTTCCACCGCGTGTGAGATCCTTTCAGCAACCACTGATTCGAGTATCTTTCCTAGTGTCGCTAGGAGTGAGATCGGCCTCCACGCCTTTGCAATGGTGTAATTTTCTTTATTCGGCTTCTTGAGCGGTATGATCTTCGCGTGTCTCCATTGTGTCGCTAACGCGCCTTCTCTCAGTGACACCTGGAATAAATCGAGAACCCTGTGCTTGACAGTTGGCCACGTCATCTTCCAGACTATCGCCGGTAGACCGTCTTCGCCCGGTGCCTTCCATGACTTAGCAGCAAAAAGCTGTCTTTCAATCTCTTCCATGCCGACAGTGAGCATACTCACTGGTCCTCTCTGCGGTCTCGTCCCTTCGTCTTCAATCACGTCCGGTAGAGGGGGAAAGAATTTGGACAACAGCTCCTCTGCTTGCTCCTTATGGTCAGCGGTGGTAGTCCCATCTGCTCTGACGAGCTGCGGTAATTTCCCAAACGCCGCATCCTCCCCGGACTGCAGGTACTTCGCGGCCTTCCATATGTTGTCGTTGTCTGCAAGAAACTCGCTCCAGTGCTTCTTCTTTTGTTTACGGATGGCATCGTGGTATTGTTTTGCCGCATCCTGGGCCATCTTTTCGAGCTGAGGTACTTTTCGCCCCGCCCGCCGTTCCGAGCGAGCGCGATTGCGCCAGTACGTGTATATATAACGGAGTTGTGTCAGGTCGGTTGTCCACCACCGCTTCGCGTGTGGCGATGGTTTCGCTCTTGGAGTTAACGTAAGCACTGCGTCTGAGACTGCGGACATCAGTCGGTCGGTTTTCTGCTGCACTGTCCCTTCCGACGGAGTGGTGGCCAGGGTGCTCGCGATTCTAGCATTAATCTCTTTCCATGGCGCGTTCTTCAGAAGAAGTCGTCCCTGATGCTTCGGGGCTGACCACGGTGCATCGAACACCGTCTCAATCGTCCGGTGATCCGAGCCGTGCTCAGTCCCGTGTATTACACATTTGGCCACCAGGTCTGCCAAATTGTCGGACGCCAGGACGAGGTCAATTGTGGACTCGCATTCCCCATACTGTCCTTCGCCATGCCATGTTTTCGTGCCTCGTTTGAGCAAGCTACTAAGAGCGAATTCACTCATGAGGTCAATGATTGGATCCGCTTCGCCTTGTCTTCCCAAGGACACCTCGTCTCCGCCCCAGAGTTGATCATGGCGGTTGAAATCTCCCATAATCATGATGTTCACCACCGCGCCCGTGTCTCGCCGCACCATCGCAATTGCCTTTCTCAGGTGACCACACGCGTCATCCAGGGCCAAGGAATCTCCCCCTTCGACGTAGACCGATGCTATAAAGATCAGCCGTTCGGGTAGTCGGATGACCGCCGCCGTCAGATCCGGGGACTCAATGGCCACTTGCTCCGCTTCTACATCTTTGTTGACCCAAAGCATGCTCCGGATCGCCCATCTGCCTTCCCTCCAGGTGGAGGGTACCATCTTCGTCCATTTGTGATGTCCCATCGGGGTGGTCAAGAGTCGTCCCTGAATCCTCCTCGCCTGGGGTTCCTGAATCGCTAACGCCACTGCGTCTTTAGTTTGTTCGTCGTTCATTAAGCTTTCATGCACGGCACCCTGCTTCCTCACATTCAATTGGATTATTCGAATTGTCTTATTCATGACGTGGTGGGTAGAGCTTCCGGCAATTCTTGCTAAACGATTCATGTGGCCCACCGCATGGATGGGGTCGTAGGTCTGATGCTGACGATAGCAGAAGCAAAAAATCGGGGTTGATGACAGGAAGCAGCGGGGTACGATTACTGACTGTACTGTTGCGAAGGTTTAGAGAGTGAGTAGGCTTTTCTGGGGGCTATCATTTTTGTGTATCCCCTCCATTTCAAACTATGCGCTCTTGATGCATTGCTACCTAACTCCGCTCGCTTCGTTCAGCTTACTATAACTATGTCGGTTATATAGCGCGAATCACTCGTAAACCACCCATCATACTCTAGATTAGACCTTGAAAAGTCCCGCAGCACTAAGTGCTTCGTCTGTGCTGCAGTGCTGCGGCGGGAGAGATTTGAGACACTTTCGTCGAATCTACACTACACTCCCTGCCATTTATTAATTGCCAGGTTACTGTTAACTAATTTCTGTCATCCGATAAACTTAAAAGTTCAAATTTTCATCAAACATCGCTTTTACCTAAGTCAGGGCTTGAATTGTCCACGGTATTAAGAGCGGCGTGAAAGGCGTGAAAATGTGTCTGTGCTACTCGTATAGCAAACGCACGGTAGAAAAAGCGGTAGAATCAAACAAAAAGACTTACCACTCAGGTAGGAAGCACAAAGAATCTCTGACTAATAAATAGGATGCTGCGATCATACAGATTCTGACGTGTCAATCTACGCGCTGTGACTATTGCATGGGTCAGGTGCGAATGAAGCTGACCCATCGGCCAATAAAACATCGCGACGGGAAAAACCAAACAATACGAAGCACATTGCACGAGAGCTTGCGCCCGCCTTGTTTTCCCCTTCTCTGTTCTTCAGTCTTGATATCTTCATTTCCACATTTTATTTTGATTTGCTTCCCTCATAACAACCACTATCTCTACCATTGTCCCAATAGACACTTTTTCGACTCGCTCTCGAAACGTTGCTTTATCTACCTAATTACCGATAGACCATATTCATACCTCCTCGTTCTATTGCTTCTGCTACCATCGGGCTTTCGATTTCATCAAAATGACCGTCATAAATAAAATGGTACGCCCAAAAGATGTCCAGGGTAAGATTTACAAATTCAAGAGCACGTCAGAATGCTTTGCTTTGGGCATACCTCCTCCTGTTCTGCCAGACAAAGTGCGGGGTCACATGGCACTTGTCCTTGGTATTATACCAGGAAAACTTGGTTATGTAAAACTTATGACGGTGAGTGCTTAAAGATCTAAATAGTCCACTGCTGACTCTCTTTAAATTACCTCGACGTTGAAAGATGACGGCGACTACGTCCCAATCTCGCCAACACCAAAGAAGGGGTTTTCAATCCAGCTTCGATTTCGAAGCTATCTTAAATGGCATCATGGAGATGCGGCGCGGGTTATTCCGAGATTGCGAGAAAATTCATACTTAAAGATCGATGCATATTACGAGGTGCCGATACAAACGTTAGTCGAAGCAACAGACGATTTCGGCAATCAGTTCATGATATGGTCTAAACATCGAGGGGGTTTGGGAGAGCTTCGAGACTACGTCCGACGTCGTGATTTGATTCGCGAGAGAAGTCATCTAATTGACGAGAAGCATACCTGAAAGGGAAGGGTCTGAGAATGCATGTGCCTATGGAGAATAACGATCAATGACGAAAAACCTATTCGCAGTAGGTATTCTATATTATACATACTATTATACGAATCAGTATTGAATTCACCCATACTTTGATTGCTGGTACAGTGGCCCTAGGATGGACTTCGAAAACACACATGAATTTTAGAAGCATATGAGCCGAGAGGGACCCAGCCGACAGCTTGCCAATTGAACTAGTACAGAGTCGCTTCACTTCAATGGCGGCCCGAGAGAGTGGTAATACAGCAGTAGTAAATGCTGCTGCAGCAGCAGCAGCAGTAGTAGCCGTGCCTTACCCTACGGTCTGGACACCAAACGCGTGTACCCGCATTTGGTGTCCCGCAGCGCAATGCAATTCTCACCGCAATGCAATTTCTCTTTTTACACATCTTTATCGCCACAACATACTACCTTAACTATGCCCGACTCTACTGAAACTGAGGTATCTCGTGTAAATGAGGCCGTGCAATTCGCTCGAAGCAAAAAAACGCCAAATTTACGCGAGGTCGCGCGGAAATTTGGCGTTAATTACAATTTGTTATGGCGTCGTGTTAAACGGAATATAAGGCCAAAAACAGAGGTTAAACCATCGAATTACACCCTAAATGTCTATCAGGAGAAGGCTTTAGGCTATTGGATAAAGACTTTGGATGCTTCCTTCCTCCCTCCGACGCCTGCTATTATAGAACATTGGGCCAATGCTACACTCGCGCGGTCAAAGACACCCGATCGGACGGTCGGAAAAGATTGGGTATATCGCTATATTCGTCGTTTCCCAGACACTGAGATGAAGCTTAGAAGGCAGAAAATTATTGATTCTAAACGTCTAGGAATTGCGGACGTTGCAGAGCTTTATCATTGGTATGATTTGTTAGCTAAGGCTCTCGAGGGTGTGAATCCACGCAATATTTACAACTTTGATGAAACTGGCTTTCAAATTGGACAAGGACGGACCCGACGTGTGTTTTCTAGCCAATCCGGCAAAGCTTCAGACCTCCCGGGCGTAGAATATGGTGAAAGAGTAACGGTCGCAGAATGTATTGCTGCCGATGGTTGGCGAATGCAGCCCTTAGTTATCTTCAAAGGACAGCATCATATGGAGTCGTGGTATAACCATCCAATACCTGATGAATGGATAACTGCGACCGCAGAAAAAGGCTATGTTATTGATAAGCTTGCTGTGCGTTGGATGGAAGAATTTGACCGTGAAACACGCGATCGTGTTAAAAATGGAGAGCAGCGTATTCTCTTGGTCGACGGCTGTGGCTCACATCTAACATTTGAATTTCTTGATACTGCGACCAAAGCAGGTATTAAGATATTTGGATTTCCGCCGAATCGAACAAATTATCTTCAACCTTTGGATGGTAAGCCTTTCCAAGCTTATAAGGCTTATTTTAAGACACAAAATAACCTTATTTCTCAATGGGGTGGAGGTCTTCTAGCATCAAAATCATCCTTCCTAAACGACCTTTACCAATTCCGAGACAGCCCTTACACCCCGAATGTGTCGAAATGCCTTTTCAGAGCGAGGAATTTATCCAGTTGACGCAAAAAAAGTCTGTGAGAGCCTCGAAAATGCTCTTCCTCCTATCCCAGACATTGAAATTGATCTATCGGGAGAGAAAACACCCTCTCCGGAACCAGATCTTTTGTCGTCAAGTCTTGAAAACACACCTTCAAAAACCTTTAAAGATGTGGAAAAAATGCAAAAATATCTCTCTCCTCTTCTCTGCCGGCCTGATTTAACGCCCACAGAAAAAAAGAAAACAAAAATACTAGCAGAATGTAAAAAAAACACTCGCACAGGTCTTAGATGAGCAAGAGTTCTATTTTAACGCCTTAGCCAATACTATGGCTACTATACGGAAAATGGCCGCCATCCGAGCCCCGCGGGAGAAAAAAACTACTAGACGGCGTGTTATGGGCCTTAGTGATGATGGTGTTATACGTGTTAAAGATGCTAAACGTAGTATAGCTGAGAGGAAGGCAAAGGAAGACAAAAAAGATGAGAGACGGGCGGTAAAAGAATTGGAGAAAAAGTACGGTGTTCCTACCACACCACGTATTACGGAGGCTCAAAGAGAGGCAGAGGCAGAACCGTTATACAGCGAGTCGGGAGAGGTTATTGGTTTTTATGATAAGTTCTAAATTGCTAAGAATATTGTATATAAAGGCGAAAAAATTACATTCCGGTGAGAATTACATTGCGCTGCGGGACACCAAATGCGGCTAGTCGTGTTTGGTGTCCAGACCGTATGGTAAGGCACGGCTAGTATCCCCTTTGCGCAAGCGAATGAAGGGTGTAAGAAGAATTGTTCTTTCTCATAAGTGAATTACATAATCCCTTGAATCGCTCGATCACTTGAAACCGAATTGACTTAGAACAGTTTGACCATGTTGGATTTTAAACCACGCAGGCGACGTACCTCGCCTCAAGATATTCATGACTGATTAATGGAGCCAGTGTATTTCGGATGCAGCCTCGTAGAACTCCTTATCACACCCGCTACTCTATTTTTTTAGTGGGCCCCTTAATATTGTGAGCGTACCGATATACAAAATCCTTAGCGAATAAGAGAGCTTGTAGGGCCATGCCATCCCGCTCCGATCATGATGACCGAATTTGATTTCAATACGTCTGAAAGACCTAGACTTGCGAGATTTCTTCACGAATAAAAGGCTCAAAACAAAAGATCAATATAAGGCTATTCTCTGCACATACCGAGCCAGCCAGCCCCTTGTTGAGTTTACTGAGCTACTCGGTTTGACGTGGGCTTAAAAGGATATGATTCGTCTTAAGGACTCGTAAATTGCAACTTTTAAGCTATATACCGATTTGGGGGGGGGGGGCAAAGCGGAACATCTTAGGTCTTGAAATTTAGGGAAGGATTTTCAAAGAAGTTGATACAAGCTATATAAATATTACTTGGCTTCCCAACGAGACCCAGCCAATCTTCACGATAGCCAAACACACTGTGGTAGCAATTGGACTGGAGAAACGATATTACAGCCAAATCTGCCAGCTAGTAGTCTAATGATGAATTACGCAAATCTGTTCGCAAACTTCACAGTCGAAATTTGCGGAGAATTGGCCGATCTATGGATAAAACTGTTTGAGCCAAAAGTCGCTTACTCTGGCAAAAAACCAACGTGGTTTCCAGAAGATCTCACTCTGATGAAACCGCAGCGGATGTTAAAGCAAGGTGAGCTCTTTTCTAAACCAATGAGGGCAAAATTAATGAGAACAAGATTGAGTGAACCTTTTGCAGCATTTGATGCGTGGAAAATTGCTCGAATGTTCTACCGAGGATGCTTTGAATACGGAGGCAAAGAAAAATTGGCTCCTTCGAAGCTCCCCGATCCACCAAAAGACCCTTTCAAAGATATTTGACCTTTTCCGCGATTACCAGCAACGGCTCAACGAACCTTTGAACCAAATTCCAGAAAATCGCAGGTTGGGTAAGTTTCGTGCGTGATATGTCGGGGATGCCCATCAAAGTTGACACAGCCTTCTATAGAAGTCGATTCCAGTGCAGTGACGTCATCATACTCTCAGGATGCCACGCAGATGCTTTAGCCAGGGCATGCAATCAGGCAAATCATTATCGTGAACCAGAAGTCCTTGGGTCATTTGTTTGACTTGACTTTTGACTTTTGCGTTGAATGGAAGATATATTCTCCTAAAGGAGAATCCCTGTAAGTGTCCAGGATCGCTGCAATGAAAGGGTCTGATGAGATTAGTGACGTTGGGACCACTCCTTGTACGCTCTATAACGGAGGGCTCGTTCCTCGAGAGGGGGTGATCCCCAAGATGCTACAAGATCCTTCAACCAGCCAGGAAATCCAAAAGGACACGCGAATCGGTATTCTCAAACTCCTGATCGCAAATGAGTAAGTGTCTCTTTGTTACAAGTAACTTCATTTCTGACACAACGGTCAAGTCAAGTAATGCCTGAAAGATCAAGTCATGGCCTGTTATACGTGTAAGCCAAACACCCTCGATCGTTTTTATCTCCTTGATTTTTTTTGTCGCTTTCTTCTTAAATAATGACCGATTACAAAGGGCATTCTCGATAAGAGTTGCGGTTTCGGTCAAGCATGGGTTTCCAGTGTCGGCAAACGCAAAAGGTTGGGAGAATATCCCGAGATTGATATCGGAAATTGAAGCTCGGTATTGATGGCAAAATTCCTCGGCATCTTGATGACGCTATGGCTGGTCATGTGGGTAGCCATACTTTCCGTTTCATCTGGAGATGGCGCAGATTATGGGGGCTTCTGCTTGGAGGAATACCAATGGTGCTATTGTTTTAAGCACTCTCTTACAGTCAATCTTGTCAGGCCATAGAAACAGCAGTGCTATGCTCAAAAGATTCGTTAGAGGGCGACCCAAACATAGTATTAAGTTCACTCAATTTGATTCTGAGATAAACGCCATGGTTACTTATAAACTCGTCGACGCTTGACCTCGCCTACCTCCATTGGCTCTAGAAACCCGTACTTCCGTCGCTTTGGAGATGCTGGGCCCCTGTATTTCATAGTCTCTTTGCACTGCTCTATTTCAAGATCATCTTTCCGACGCCTGTCCTGAAGTTCGAAATTCCCGTGACTCCATTCAATTGTCTCATATCTCACCACTTCGATCTTACTTGATGAATTGGCTTGTTCGCTAACAAAAATCATTTCCAAAGAATTGAGGGCGGATAGCAAATCATGACGAGAGATTCTGTTTGGAAATAGGGATGATTCGTTCAATTGAGAGAGCATCACACTCAGGGTATTCTGATCTGGATCCCATAACGTAGACGTGAGAGGTATGTTGCTGCATGTCATCGGTGTCACTGCCAGACTAAACCCAATAAGAATGAGCCTCACTTTGCTCCCAAAAAAGGTGTCTGATGAATGCAAACGTGGCCCTGGTCTATGGAGAGTATTCAGGCACTGTGCAGAAATCTGCTCGATTCGATGAAGAAGAAAACCAAGCTCATTGCGCACGTGCTCAGCAGACACTGTAAGAACAACGGGATCCTTCTGAGCAAGCCATTCACGAATTTCGTGCCATATTCGACGAGTCTCCGGTTTGGTTCGATGCCAGTCTTGCTGTTGCAGTTCTAGAACCCCTTCAGAGCCAATACGCGGCTCCCAGTCCCTGTCCCTACGGCGAAGGATATCCTGAATCGGCCGGTGATCCCCAAGTTGGACGGGCAAAGTCGACTGTAGGAGAGCATAACAGAGAATGAGTAGTAGCTGAGAAAAGGAGAAACGTGCCGGGACTGAGGAAACAGCCTCAAAGGACATGCATGAGAAAGAACCGTTCATCTTGTGAGGCCGTCGCATCACGTGACTCCACTCCGCACGGGGCAATGGACGGAAACCTCCTGGTGACAGATGCGCACTTGGGAAGGATCTGCCAGCCTCAAATGGGCTTACGATAAGATTTGTTTCAGAACAGAAGTTGATGTTTTTGGGCTCCGGGCCGACTTTATGTGCTGAGGTGAGTTTCTAAAGCTTCCCTGTCACCAAATTGCTATCAACTCACTGGTTCTGATTTGTCTGCAACAGTGCCTCAAACTCAAAAGACCTCCCTCACAACGCGAATATCCCTTGCGTATGCTGACCCACCGGCACGTTGTCATTTGGCGATTTTATTTACATGACATCAGCGTCTCCCATCATTCAACTTTCCAGATGAACGATTCCAACGACGGCAAGGTTCTTCAGGTAGAGCTTGACCCGGTCGAACATAAAGTGGTGCAGGAATTATATAAGTGGCTGGAAAAGCCTGGCATTCAATGGAAACCATCTCCTCAATTTGAACTTGTAGAGCAGTGCTCCGATGGGGAATTATGGAGGATTATTCCCCAGCTCACGCGAGTTCGTTCTTACTACTGTCATCACGAGACACAACTCCCTTACTGATAGTTACAGGATTCCCAAGTTGCCGTTTTCAAAACATCTCATTCACGGTGGGGGTTGAGGAAAGGGGACCTCATTCCATTTATCCCGAGCGAGGGTTGTTGTGTAAGGGATGGAGAACAACGCTATCCTCTGGTCTATGGATCAAAACTTTGTATCTCGAAATATGTCCGCGTGGAAGTACCCGAGGGAGGTACTTTGTACCTCTTATGGAGAGTCAAGGAAATGAGTGATAAATAGGTCTGGAATACCAGCTTGTCATGGCGATATAACATTGAATTAAAATAGAGATCTGTGCTGTGCTCAAAAACAGCGGGGATCTGTGGTGTCTCCGATTGGACCAGAGAAATCAAGATACGCCATGTCGAGGTCAGGATTGAAGAAATCGAGGTGGGTAATATCAAGCTCTGGCTCAAACGGCCTCGCAAATGTCTCTGCGCCAGCAGGAGGGTCATCCAATGTCGAAGAGTAAGGAGGGTACGAGCTAGGAGGTGCGTGGAGTTCCCCGTCGCCTATGTCTTCCTGGGAGCCAGCTTCTAGAGTTTGTTCTTGTAACGATCTGTCTGTTCCCGCTAGATATGGAGGGTAGTTTATTGCCATCCGTTGTGATTTAATGCTGGGATCTACATCTGACTCAGAATATTCTTGATGATGAGCATCCGCGTTCGACGAACTGTCCTGGTGTTGCCGCTTGGTCCCTTTCGGGTGTCGGTTTCGTCCTTTCGCTTTCTTGGAGATGTGTGATTCAGGCTCTGGAGCACAGACGAAATCGGCATGGAATTCGAGCAGAGCTTGTGCCACGCAATTTGCATTCTTTCTTTCTGATAACTCTGTAATATTCTTTTCACGAAGGTGTTGGATCACCTGTTTATAATCCTGTCCACAAAGGCCACCGTCATCCCATCTAAATCAGGTTAGTCTTTAGCTGCACTGTAGCCGGGGCTAGAAACGTACATGCTGTCTGGAATTGAGGGAAAGAATAATGAACCAAATGCGAATTGTTTTTCTTCACCAAGCCTCCGACAGAATTGAGTTAATCTTTGACCTCGTCGAATAACTTCCATGCATACGTCGCGCGCAACAGTAGGAAGTTCAGCTGGAGCCAAGAAACGTTCCATTTGTTTTTCTAACACCCGGGTGTGTGAAGAGCTCGGGAACTCTCGTCGAAAAAGGTTGTAGGCGGAGACAGCAACGAATCTTTGAAGAATACGCTGTTCTTCAATATTTGAATCTAATTGAGCTGCACCTTCGAAAAATGTTCTCGATCTCTGTTTTTGCTCTTGTCGACTATAAGTTGGGAGTGCCCTGACAAGTCTTTCCCAAAATTCGAGGGGATCATTTTCAAAAGAAGAAAAACGATTTTCAAGCCTCTGAGGTATCGTAAAGTGGCTTATCTTTTCGACTCTGGCACGGTTTGCCTGGGAGGTTGTTGTGGTAGTACTGAATAAACTGCGAAGAGGAGTGTAGAGTTGTGGAAGGAATTCCGTATGTTCAGCTTTCTCTAAATCGCCGAACGGTCTGTCTCCAGGAAGAGTTTCTAACATTCGAATAACATCTCTATTAGTCAATGGCTTCGATGTTTTCTTTTCAGATCCCGGAGACGAATTCCCTTGTCGGACCATTGCGGGTGGAGTGTCGAGGAAGAAGAGATATTGTTGGAAGCAAGAAGCGCCAAAGAATAGAACAGTCGTAAGGGGCTAAGCCGAAAATAATTTCTCGGGGGTCGCGCGACCCCCGAGATATTATTACTTCGCCACCATTGAAACGGCATCCCATACCCAGGAATGTCAAGTTGAACATCCATAAACGTGTTTTCTTAATACTTCTCGATTTCGATCCAATTGTAATCGAACATCACGGTCATGTTTTGAATCTACAAAGTGACTTCTACAACCGGACACACAGCATCATAGTCGTCTCACAGAAAGTGGATAGTCAGTACCCTTAAAACGTGTCTAGAACCACTCGACATGGTAATTCGTGATATCATGCACACGATAATATCGCCTTACTAATCGTCTGATATTAATTGCTGGACTATCCGATAACCCTCGTTCCTCTCTACGACAAGAAAAAGAGCCGGTGAGGATTTCCAAAAACAGTCCTTACAATTGAGCTTTGGTCAAATAGAAATCTCTCCAAGCAGATTTACAGATAATTCGTAATGAATTGCCCCTTTCAATCATCGCTTTCTGTCAAAAAGTTTCTTGAAGCTTTCTGGGTCCAAATCGCCGTTGAAAAGGGTGCTATTGTTCTTCACAGATCCACCACCGATCATGTGAATCTGATTACTATCATTATAATCGCTTCTGACATCGCCATTAAACACACGCGAGCTTTCATCTATTTTCATACCAAAATAGCTATGTGCAGACCGCCTGGAAGAAGAGCCTGCATTGTGGTAGAAAGAATCGTCAGATATTTTCAAGTGAAGCAAGGCAGGAGAAGTGAGTTGGATAACACCGCAATACCTCGCTGACTTCTTTCTTCCTTGCCACTATGAGCGAGTCCTGGGGGATGTTTCTATGTCCAAACTAGAGTGATTAGACAGAGAATGAAGACATGATTTTTGCTCGATCGCAACTAACCTTGTCTTGCAAAGACAGAGCCATGTCCTTCGTATTTTGCTGAGAATCGGCTGTAGAGAGTCCTTCTTGCTTATTTTTATCCATTTGCAATATGGGTCAAAGAGCTGAAGATAAGTGTTGAGAAAAAATGATTATCGAGTTGACTTATTGCAGAGAGTAGGTGGCGTGATATTTATATCCTAGGGATTTCAGCCTGAATGAATCAGCCCTAGATAAACGACGCAGAATGGCTTGGCCGTTTTGCAAAGAGTCTCTCAAAGGTGTCACCGCTGATCATTACCTTATTGGGTATGTATTGACACATCTAGTTCCTTTGATCTAGAATTTACTGCCCCCGTGAGCTTAATTTGCTCCTAGAGATCTGCTACAGCTTCCTGAGGCTGGCCGAAGCGAGTCCAGGAATGTATCAGTAGGTCTGAGGAGCAAAAATGTACCTAATTTTACAAGTAAAATTTCCAGGGGCAGCTAGAGATTTCCTAGGATTGGTCGGGACTCCCATGGAGTTGGCTCCGCATAGTGATGGCTTAGAATTTTGAGGTGCCGCCAGCAATTGGTGGGGCATAGTGGGATTAGATGGAAAGAAAACGACTGTATCAAATAAACCCAGTGCCCTCAAAAATGAGCATACCCATCCTCAACACTGAAAAAACCGCCCCCGGTGTCGTAAATCAGGACTCCCGCTCAATCTGTTCATGGAGGTATGCTACGTGTTTCCGGGGTGAGCTGAAATGACTCCAGGGGCGTCTCAGTAGACCCCTGGAGCCTTTTGCTCCTAGTACAAGGAACATGGCAGCAATGCAATGAAATGTGTCAAATGTGAAAGAACCGCGTAGTCTACGATCGAAAGTGTGGGGAATAGTACGAACAGCAATTTAACCCAGGGCAGCATAGAGCCATAGAGAGCTGCCCTCATTAATCACTGACTCGATGGAGACACCGAAGCGTATGAGAGCAATCCTCTTTCAACAACGAGCGGAGACACATCAAATTCAACGGCTTCCGAGGCAAAAACAGTTTTCAAAAAATAAGTTGCTACATAGGATCCTGGACTTAGATGAGTTTTGAGATCCTCGGAACCAAAAGCGATTAGCGTTTCTCACTAAATTAACAGGGTCTACGGTAGCGGATCAAGTATTTTTTACTATAGTCATTCATGGTGGGACCCTAATTCACTGAGAAACTCCGAGTCACTCTGTGTAGGAATGAAAAGCTCTTGATTTGCCTAAACTTAGAAGAAATTACATCAATTTGACGGTTTCTGATCCTATGTGAAGCTGAAGCTAGAACAGAGTGAGGCATGAAAATTTAGAATAGAAAAGAAAAACAATAATCAGGGACTTCGACAATTCGTATATCCTCTCTTTACGCAAGCCGGCGACTGGTGTAAGAGATATTGTTCTTTTTTAGGGGCAGAGCGAACGATTTCTTCAAATGGTTGAATTGCCCGCAGAGCAACAACCGAGACCCTCCACATAAGACCCGCGTTTCCTTCACTCTGTCCATCAATTAACTCCCACTGGAGACAAACATTAGATTCACCTCCAGGAGCTGATTCCCTCATCAAGTTGAGGGCTCCAGTAACTCTGGAGTAATCTAACCAAAGATTTTGTTCGGGGCCAGGTAACCCGTAGACGGTGTTATAGTCTGAAGAGTACCGTATCTCTCCAGAAAACAACCCGAGGGTATCTCCCTCTTGGACTGATATAATAGGGCAAAACGTGAGAAAAATATCATTCCTGGGCTGAAGTATGACAAATATAGACTTGTTTCGCATTGCTTCTGCATTTGCCCTCAAGTCAAAGAACCCACCAAGCGCTTCAGCCAATAGCTCGTACGATCCACTCAATTGAAAGACAGTCTCCTCTACGCTCGAGAACCACGGGTTGACAGCGCAATTCCATGAATCCCGAGGAACACTAAGTCTGTCTGTTAAGAGCGGCTGGCTCAACCATAGCCTTCCTGTCAAATCACCCTTGCTTTCCTTGGCCACTCGCTCTTCCAGTTTGATATACAGAAAAATCCGAAATTGGCTTTCATGATCTACACAAAGAACTTTGTTCCAGAACCCTGAGTGGAGCCTTACCATCCAATGAAGAGTGGCAGATCCGCAGTAAGGCCCCACACCATCGCCCAGAAAAGTGTAGTCAACTCTTTTATTAGCCTAGGCCTAGGGTCTGAGATAGTCTCTCTGTGTAAAAAGTGGAAGCCAATTTCGAATTTGTTTGTAAATGCCATACCTTTCTTCCCAGAGTTGGACAGTTTCGATCAAAGAAGGATTTTATCGACACCGGCGTTTCGCATGTCGAACAGTCTTTTCCAGAAAAGACGGCACTGCCGTTGATTGGCGAGACTAAGTCAATAGCCCGCTTCCCTCATAGATCTTTCGGTGGCGACTTTCTCGGCCATTGTGAATTCATCAAGAGGGCCTTTCGAGGTTGGCAAGTCCTTTGGGTCAAGGAGCTCGGCACCTTTCTTGATGATTTCCCAATACACAGTTTCATTAAGGCGCGATTGGATATTTTTTATTGCGGAGAATGCATTTTCCTGCTTGATTAGCTGGACTGCATCGGAATATTCCAGCTTGAGAATACCATTCACAACACTCTGAATCTCCTCAACCTTCGTTGTCATATTTGCCTGTTTTGACCGGAGACCAGATCTTCCAAGTGGATTGTTTAGCTTTATACAGTTCACAAGTATATTCTCGATAATCCTGTGCGGTGCTTTCCCGTACTGAGAGGTGTCTATGGCGGTCAAAGGAGTCTCAGCCTGAGGTATGGCGTTCGCCTCAGTCGTCGACGGAGGTCCGGTTGTTCTGTCACCTTCCTGACGTACTATGGGCTTATTCGTCTCTTGCGCCGCATCTTTGGTTGTATCATTTCCTTTCTTTCTCCTTTTCTTCTTATGAGACTGCGCATCTAGCCCTTTGTAGTCCACTCTACTTCTTTTATCAGGTGTGGGGAGTAACCGGTAAGAGCCACGCTTTGCTTCAGGATCCGGACTACCTTCGGGAGTAAGGGGAGGCGGTGGATCTGTTATCCCTACCTGTAGCCTCGTGTCTTGGACTATGCGTGTCAGTGGTAATGGTCTGTTGATGAGCAATCTGGGCCTCACCAAAGTCAGAAATGCCTAGGATGTGTTCCTTGATAGGTTCATAGTCGCAGTCGCCGATACCGCAAAATACAAACAACTCCTGAACTTTCCCTGCTGTTAAAGACCGGAAAATTTCTTCCATGATAGTATTGTGTTGGGTAAGTCACTTCCAAGTGAAATTGACATGGGAAGATGCTGCGCTCCCGCACGATATTAGTTGTGTGAGTGGCGCTAACCCAAACGGGAACTATGGTCTAGACCGTGGAAAAGAAGGGAAAGCAGGGAGGCTCCATTAATTCATGCTTTTTAAACACCTGGTACCTTCATTACGAAGAGAGCGGATCAATCGAAGTTTAACAATGCTGGGGTTGGATAATCGACGTAAATGTTCTTGTAGTATCAACAAACAGGCCTGTTATCCAATCGGAAATGAGGAGACCATTGGGTGGACAAAGACATTGGGGCGGGGGGCGGACAAGGTACAGTAGCGGGCATAAATGGGTATGAACGGGCATTAACGGGCGTAGGTGGTCGTAAATGGGCATAAATGGGCATTCACGGAGCAATAACGGGTTGTCAAGGTATCTTATCATTGGTTGGGGGAAAGCTGTGAGGGGCTGAGGTTTTGCTTTTATGCAGCTAGCTGCGGCCAGGTCACACCTGATTCCAGCCTGATAAGCGACCAAAGTGTTACCGTGAAAGCTCAGAACGAAACATTAAAAAGCGGATCTTGCCCACTTTGTCCCATTTATTTGTGTCTGTGTTCTTCACGCAACCTAGTGTGCCATGGCCACTGAGCAATTTTTCCGATCACTTTGTCACCGAAAAATTCTTCTGGATGATAGTCCATTCTTAGATTCGAATAGCCAGAAAGCCTTCGAATCATCCTATTGTCTGTTGTATGACATAATCAAACCGACAGGATCAAGGCAAACCCAGAGCAGACGTGATAAGTCACGACAACATCTTAAGAATGCTTACTCCATAGGAAAGCCGCTCTTTATCCTTGTTGCCGTCACAATTTCCATCTCTGATTTGGCATTACTGAACCATGATGAGATTTTCCCTCGTCTCGAAGTCTGGTGGCAAAATAATGCACCCTCAGAGAAGTTCCAGTCACGCGCCATCGAGCTCATTCAAGAGCTGGACCATGAAAAAGAGCGAGGAGGTCTTGCCCATGTACAACGTATGATCCATTTCCATTCACTGGACGAATGAGTACTAATCACTCTTAAAGAACGAACAAAAAGTAGGACTTTTGGAAAGCCCCGGCGTGTCAAGCAGAAAAGGGCAGAACACCTGCCCCCCCATCCAGTATCAAACTCTCAGAGTCTAATAGACAGCCAACCGAACACCAATCTTGAAACTGCCCTCTCTTTCGGTAAAAGTACTGTGTGCATCACTTTATTCAAGCCATACTAATTTATAGTTGTAGATAATGATAGAGCCGAAAGCGCGCAGTTAAGTGGAAACTCTGGTTCGTCTATAAGTGACTATGGTTGGTACGACTGCTAATAAAACAAGGTTCCATGGGCAGCTTTGCAGTGAATTTGTCTGACGAAGAACCGATATTTTTTCTTTCTTCACAGCTCGTACAATTTCTCCAAGTATATCATTCGAACTTCCCCCATCTGCAAGCTGTCAGCGATCTGCTCCGAATCAGCGGGCCCAACCTGCAGCTTTCATACTCTCTCCTCAATTTGACACCTCCGTACATCCACATCGATCTTCAGCTGCCTCCAGGGCTGAATATAAATATTGAGGTTTCGCGTGAATTCAGTTATTCCTTCATTCAGTATCTTTGGATGCTCCAAACATCAGGCGTCACGACAAACGAAACGTCGCAACAATACATTCCTGAACACTAAGCCAGTACGTCCGTCACGAAGGATAAGTACTCTTTGGCCGCTTCCTGTTTTGGGGCCTGTTGATAGTATATCGATGCTGCCCTCTGCAACACGGGAATGGATGACGCCCTCACCCTCGTCTCCGTGTATCAGCACGGCAGGGGCGATGGTTGAGTCTAAAATCTTCCCGTTGAAGCACTCTGTCTCAAGAAAGACGTCCTTCCCTTTCTACAGAGATAAAAGTAAGCAGTTGAAAGACGCCAAACACTAAGGAGTCTAACCAATAACAATTTGACTTCCTCCTCCAGACCTCTATCATCGTGTGCTACTGTCTTGAGGAAAACAGCGTCATTTGTTTTGCTCATGACACTCCAAGCCTTCAGCTGACGTTATTGGCGGTTTAAAAGGATGCGGGGAGAGGAAAACTATTGGGATTTGCGAATACCGCGTCTCTTGTTGTCACAGAGCAGATCAGCGTTCAAAGCAACAAAATTGGCAATCAGTAGCTCAGGTAGACACTAGATACTTGCCTCTGAAGGCTGCTGTTCTTGACAGAATTTGCTGAAGACAGGTTGCGCACTAAGTTTTCGTAACAAAATGGACCGCAATATAAGAAAATCCTACCGCGGGGCTCCCAACTTGCTTCGGGTAGCAAACCAAGTCACGTGAGTTCGCGTCACAAGACTTTCTTGCACACACACATCGTCGCGTCTTTGCAATATGTCGGGAAATGGAAATACCCTTAAACAGTCTTTTTTTCATCTTTTTAAAGTATTAAAGTATCGCAAATAAATCTTTTGTTGTATAAACAAAATGTATGCGACGCATTGCAATATTTTGGGAACTCCCCACTTTCATTCTACATCACAGCGTCCCAATTTGTCCCATTAACTTCAGGACCGACCATTATGTCTCATTTGTGTCACCCATCGTCTTACCGGACCCCCCTTGCATATAACTCTTTACCATTTAGTAACATTTTGAGCCATTTTGTATCACTTAATTCCATACCTACACTTTTGTGAACAGTGATAGCTCCACGGGAATTAGCAAGCAACTTCATGCAGGCTTGCTACATTGAGATTGGTTTTCATCGTGTTTTCCAGACGTCCCACGATATGAACTACGCATCTAAAGTCAAACCCTCTGCACCGTACTTTTGCTAAACATCATAGCAAGAGGCAGGAGATTGCGACGAAGATATAAAGGGAACCTGTATTCAGCTGGATGACAGTTCTTTCTTTTCATTTCCAGTGGCTTTTGGACTTGCTGACATCATCTATCTCATTGCACCAACGACTGTTTCCTTTCATTTGATCAGACAACATGGCCCTAGTTCAGCGTGATACCAAAGTGTCTTCCTCCGAGCACAGCATGGCGTCTGAGAAAACTGCTTCTGCCTGTCAACAAGACCCGACTCCGCCGGATAGCCCCAATAGCGACTTTACTAAACCTCAAGAAAACGAGCTGAAGAAGCTCCTTGGGAGTGTACTATCCAAATTCGAAGGTCCTCCGAACAGCCCCGTCTGCCAGGGAAATTATCAACCAGGACCAGATGCAATTGAATTGCAGATATTGCTTGCGCAGTTCATCCGCGGTAAACAGTTGTCTACGGTGGTCGAAAATACCAAGTCTCGTTTTGATGGCAGTGAACAAGAGTCCGCCACTCCGCTGATAGGCGAAGCAAATCCCCCGATCTGTACCACACCGGGTGATTTCAAGTCGTTTGAAAAATGGGCATCAAAATCCCAATTCATAACAGTTTTGGAAACGTATGAGCCACAGCCCCCCCCCCTTTTTCCATTTTCTGAAGAAGAATTATCTGATGCGGGTATAGCTGGGACAAGGAAGCAAGCAAATACAAGATAGCAGAGCCGGTGGACGCCAGCTGCGGTCCGGACAACTATGCTGAATATGCATTCGTTGTACGCAAACGTGTGGGTACGTACTGTCTTTGCCTGGCGGACTGAGACCATACTAATGGTATGATTAGATCGAGATACCGGGGAGGTGACGCTGTACATAGATGTCAAATCGGAAGGCTTGCGTAACATACTTCGTGAGGTGCTGCACGACATCAAATCTATTAGCCTGATGGAGGACAAGCCATCGGTAATGTGACATAATATTACATCCAAGAAGATCGCTGACCAGTATTTAGATTGAGCAAAACGTCCTTTTCCATTTCCTCCCCGGATTCGGAGAATATGCGAATCATATGGAAAACGGTCCGGACCGCGGGTCGGCACATGCGCAGCATCTCCGCCTGCTCATTGACCACCTCAAACACGCATATGCTCCTATCTCGCAACGTCTCGAGTCAATGTTACAGCACGGCCATATTACTTACGACCTTCTTTGGGCACTTTTCAAGCCTGGTTGCCATATGTATACCACATGTATTGGCACAAAAGAGCCACGGTGCGTCATTTTCGACGCAGGGGAAGAGTTAACAAGACATGACGAGACGTGGTTCAATCTCGAATGCCGATTCCTTGATTACGACGGAGTCAAGTTCGGCGAGGCCGGAATCTTTCTGCGTGTGCCAAAGTTCCGAGGGTCAAAGCCGATCGCGACTCTTGAGGCTTACCCTCTCCGCCACCATCCGAGTCACGAGCAAGTCCGAAAAGACCTAGTCGAGAGAGGCGAAAGGTTTCGAGATTTTGCTGGCTCGCATATTCAGCACTGCCAAGGCAATGCATTCTTTATGCACAAGGGCAAGGCTATCAAAGTCAACATCAACAGTCGAGTCGTAGTGGACGCCGCATTTTTCCATGAAATGCAGCCAAACTACTCCCGGCCGTCTCTCTGCGACATGGAGGCGAAGGAAAAGGACGGCATTGCCTTCTTTGACATAGGTGCAATGTTTATGGAGGAACGTGAGCAAGAAAAGGAGAAAATGCGAGGAGACGGCGTGGAACCACAAAAGCTGGACGAGGCCGATGTATTAATCGCCTGTCCAACAGTGTGTTGCTTCAGTTTCAAGGAAAAGATGTTTTGTATGTCACGCGCTCAACAATTGGTTGAGGACCAGCTAATGTGATTTCAGTGGAATGCGCAGTTAGTGCTCTTAGGGATGTAAACTGGTCACCTGAATCATTTGACTGCCTGCAAATTCCGCCAGAGAACAAGACACTTCTCTTATCAATGGCAAAAACCCGCTTGGGTTTGATACCGACAGTACCCTTTGACGACGTAATTGACGGAAAAGGTCAAGGACTCAACATCCTTTTAGAGTATGTCAACAAATTATTTATGCAACATATCAAGACTTCCATCCTAACCAGAGTTAGTGGGCCGCCCGGCGTCGGAAAGACATTTACGGTTGAAGCAACATCGGAATATTTCAAGCTGCCTCTATACTCGGTACGAGCCAATTGTGGCCCTGGTAGTGACCTCGCTAACCTTCTCAGATATCTGCAGGCGAGCTCGTTGTCGACCACGGAGATTCCAATGCGCTTGAACAACAACTTGAGACTATTTTCAAGATCGCTCATCACTTCAAAGCCGTGCTCCTCTTGGACGAGGCAGATGCGTTTATGGAGCAGCGTACCTCTTATCACGGTGCTCACAATCGTCTGGTGACTGTTTTCCTCCGAAAGCTGGAGTATTATCAAGGCATTTTGTTCTTGACTTCGAATCGGGGTATTCAGTTTGATGACGCAATCCTCAGCCGGATCCATTTAATCATCACGTATGAAGGCTTGAGCAGGGAATTTCGCAAGGGTCTCTGGTCAACCTTTTTGGCCAGGGCACAAACAGTTCAAGGGTCTGCCAAGATCGAGGAGCACGACCTTCGGCGGTTGGAGGCTTTGCATCTCAATGGGCGCGAGGTGGGTTCCGGAGCCCTGCCGTTTACTTCTTGTTTGCTGACTGACATCGATAAGATCAAAAACATCGTAGCAATTGCACATGCCCTCGCTGAGGCGAATGCCAGCCAAGTGGACTACAAATACATTGAGTCAGCCGCCGGCTCACGTAAAAAATTTTCGAAGGAGTTTGGCAGACAGATGTATATCTAGCAGCATACCTGGGGAACCCATGCTAGCAATGTTGTTGATTGCCGATGTCAAGCGGCTCGGCTCTTGTTGCGATATTTCCTTAGTACACGACAGTCCATCTCATCAGTCCTGAGCTTAACAGTTGAATCCACGTTTTCATATGATCCATGGCATCCCAGAAAGCCTTATGTACTGAAATTTAATGAAAGTTCGCAATGATATTATAATGATGATTCATTCGTAAAAGGCTTCAGCCAGGCCCGCATAATCATTCGGGGATGTCGAAGAAGATGTAGGAGCGTGAGTCACCTCCAAAATTATCATTGATAAAGACAATGTGGGTATCAAGAATAAGATAACTAATTTGAGAGGTATGAGGATTCCATTCTTACGAAACACGGACACGTTTCGCATCTGCTGCCTCTGCTTGACATAGTCGTCGTTTTGCGGCTCCCGGTCGATGCTTAGCCGGTCGGCATCTCAGAGTAGAGCGGTGAAAGTCGATGATCAAAGCACGCCCGAGCTCTTCACTCCAAAGAACATTGTCTAGCCTCAGGTCTTCATGTATTATTCCGAGAGCTTTAATTTCCTTGTTCGATTTCTTAATCTCCCGGCGGAGCCGTTGCGTCAGCTCCATCGCCGCTACGCTTTCACCTGCCCAGCCCATTACGAGCATATGGCGGATTTGCCCAGCGCCATGGAGAAAGTAGATTTTTGCTAGGTCAACAGTACCCAAGAACACAGGCACGGCGGACCCTTGAGCCCTCCGCAGGATTTGATATACCTGCGCCTCTCGAGAAACCTCTTTCCACAATCCTGAAGTGGTGCCTTTGCCGATAACCGTATAACCATATTTCATGCAAGTAAGTTTGAACGGGGCACCGTAGGAGCCACAGCCCCCAAGAGGAATGCAACGATCGATATTTTCGTCCAATTGGCTTTTCAGTAAGAGCATCAAATCTCCGACCGAGATAGGATGCTGGCTTGTGTCATTCTGGCCTTCACGATGATGGCTTACATTTGGACACAACTCGTCTAAAGGCTTCCCGGTCTGAAGGCCGAGTAAACAGCGCTGCGTACAAAATTGTGCAGCGCGGCGTCGAGAATGGTCTTCTTGGTCATGCCCTGCTTTTTGCTGGCGACCTGATCGACGAGCGGAGGGTGAAGGCGTGACTTGGCTGATCCTCCGCTTATGGCCAGCTGCTTGATTGGTGTCGGAGCCGGACGAGTTGGGTGACCGCGAGCGTGATCGGATCTCCGAAGGTGCACAGCTGTTTTGGGATCGTGTAGGCACTCGACGGCCCTCTAAGGGAGATGGTAAGGGAGATGATGACGGTAGCTCATAGGGCGAGCCAGACTCTGGACTCGGAAACTCAGGGTTTGTGCTATCGGAGTGGGGGATCTGCTGCAATTCTTTGCTCGGAATCTGCGAACGTGTATGTTCAAAGCTTGTTTCCCACGTATGAAGATGGGGCCGCCAGCGGTTTCTCCATTCTTGCCCACGGGCGGGTGATCGGAATGCCATCAAACAGAGGCATAATATCCTCGCAACGGAGGTCTTCGAGAGCTCGGAAGTCATCTCGCCCGCTGGGTCTACTTCGCTGTGGGGATCGCAGAAAAAGTAATAGAGAGTGGTGGGTTCGTCATGTGGAACACGAAGTAGGATACGGACTAGTCCATTTGTCACGTAGGAATATTCACATCCTTCTTCAAACATTGCATGGTATTCTTGGACCGCAGCAGAGCAGGCTAACCGCTCTGCGTTGTACCTCAGTTTTGCATCCTGCTCCGTGGGTATTTTATTTGATCTGACCATTGTCTTCCATAGATCCATTGGTCGTAGTCCCATGCGAAGAGCTGCAACAGGTAGTTTGTGAGGCGGCTTGTACTCGACAGTCGTCAGGAGGGTATTCGTGTTACCGTCGACACGATGAATGCAAAACTGGTCGGGTCGTGGGTGAGGTGTGCTTGACAACTGACTGGCATCTGCTCCAAATATCTCGTCTCTGCTCAAAGAATTTGAGTGATTGCTGAACTGGATTCCATCACCGAGGCCGAACTCATCACAAGCCGCTGGTATTTTGCACAACTCGGCTATTATGTCATGGACATGCTCTTCTACTCCAAAGCGCTCATAGGCCTCGAGATCTTGCTCACTACTGAGTGGCTTGCGAGCAAACCGACGGCCAAGTCCTTCTAACTCCGGTAGAGACGAAAATAAACGTGGCGCCCGTTCCGGTGCCGACTGGAAATATTGGTGGACAGACCTGTAGACTCTTAGCAGCTGCTCTGGGCAATCGGCCCAATGTTCCAATCGAGTTGGGCAATATTTTCCGGTGGGAAGGGGAATTTTGCCAGTGGTTGAGCGAGACGGTGTCTCGACTCTCAACTGGCGGGAGAGAAGCTTATGGCAGTACTGTAAGAGCTCTGTGAAAGAGGTCTGCTGGTTGCGCTCTTCTGCTTGACGTCTCCCTGCTGCTTCCTGCTTCTCGCGTTCTTCTGCCTGCTTCTCGCGTTCTTCTGCCTGCTTCCGTCTCTCTTCTTCCTGCTTCCGTCTCTCTTCCGCCTGCAGATAGAGAGATTCGTAATTTGGGGAGCTGTTGTCAGCCATCGATATGTTGGAGTGGGACATAACATTTGCCTCAAGAAGTCAATGCATGGGGCCACCTGGACAACGAGCTGGAAGTCAGCGGAGCACGGCTCCGGCAGAATATTTTTCCAGAAATAAACAATGAATTTTGTTGCTCCTCAAGCCAACGTCATTTAATTCCTCCATTCCTTGTGGAACAAAATATTCAGTAAATAATATAATGATACCAGATCGAAGTCAACAGAGTAGGGGTCCGCCGGCTGGCGAGGGGGATGAACTGTCACGGAGGAATCCGCCTTACCAGCTTACTCAATTCTTGTCTCCAGTGACTAAATTTGCGCCTCAGGCATCAACACGATTTGGCCTTTTACAGCACACTGTACACTTCGATGTGATGGAACCTAAATTCGACTCAGTCAGTACATATATAAATGTGGTCGCCTTCAAAATCTTGAGAACGCAGCCACCATTCCGAGCCCTTCATCTCGATTACATCACTCGCCAGACCCACAACTTATTTACCCATAAGTCATTTACTTCCAAGATGTTGTATCATTTCGCTGTAGGGGAGGTGTGCAATGAACCTATTAGTCAGCGAAGTCCTCCTGGAGGAGAGAGTATGCTTACCTGTCTCATTGTCCGTCTAGTTTGCCAAATACGCCTCAGACTTTGCTAGGCGATCATTCCACGGGTACCGTACGAGAAATTCACCAGACGTACCTGTCTAGTTGGAGTCCTTTTTCTTAGAACAGGGCCCGCGCGCAAAAAATATCGGACTACTCTCGCTAAAAGGACCTGCAACGATTGTTAGCTAGAAAATGCCACGAGGGCAGGACGAGGTATTTGTAGGTTCGAGGGTTGCTTGATCTTGGTGTTTACCAGTGCACCATCAGTTTTGAGTACGTTTATGGAAAAGCGAGTGGGTAGAACACAGCATACCTGCATAAAAAAGAGGAGGATTGGAGGTTTATTACACCCTTACAACGATATTAATTGCCTTATGATCTTTCCCATATACTTACTACATCGTCGTGGACTCTTCCCGCATTAAATTGGACGGCAAATCGATCGACTCATCCTCGTTAGCCTCAAAGATTTGAGCAAGTGTGACGGGCTATATTCGCATACATCTCAAAGAAACATATTCTAGCAATAACTCTCATATCAATATCAAAGACCGGTATTATACTGGATTGTCTGTATCATCTTTCGATGTAGCTGCCGATTTTAAATGGCCTATTTTTTCGAACCGGCCGTCGTTCTCGAGGGGACCCTGTTTTAATTATAGACCTAATTCTTATAGATGCAGATTTTGTGGGACTAGTAGTAATAGACATGCAACATGATGTCCTCGCATTTACGAGGGGAACGGGTTCATTTGATACAGTCGTTGTATCCCATCGAGCCCCACTATGCCCCACCAATCACTAACGGTATCCTCAAAATACTGGGCCATCATTATTATCGCTCGCTACACTAAGTGGAGCATACTCTATGGGGATTCTAACCAATCCTGGGGGTCCTACGACTAACGATGGGGACTATACCTATCATTCTAAGAGCAACAAGGCTCCTAGGATCTACTCATGCGCTCCTATAGTGACTGTCAGAGACTGACATGAGCTGTATACGATATTGGAGGATGTGGACCCACATAGCTTATCTGGGTTCCCCTGAACGCGAGGAAGCTCTCTCTCTTTTGCTTCCTCGCGCTACGTCTTGTATCTAGAGTCGACTATAGCTTTCTCAGTATTTATTATTCATTCGGAAGACACACTCCTCATCCAACGATACGTGAGATCCTCACAGTGACTTTGTTTGGCCCTGGGAATCTGTAGCAGGTTTCTAAGAACAGTCTGAGCTCCTAGGGGTAATTTTGTAGGTGGGGATGACTAATAAAACTAAGCGAAATTACATTACATGAGTGGATACGTTATTACGCGTGTCCGACAACCATTCTCCTATGGGATCGCAGATCCCGGTCGACGTTCGCTTTTCAAGCCTCAGCGCGATTGAAGCAAACCCCCAGATTCCCTCGGTGATTTCCGTTAATTCTGGTACACACTCCCAGATTCCAGATAGTCCAGCCGGTAGGTTCGGCACTATTTGCAGAGGAAGTGCAAGTTGCTACAACACAGTGAGATGACCGAGTTCTTCGAGACCAAGTCTTGTTGAGTTCAGAGGAAAATGGTCGTTATCACCATTGTCCACGGGAAGGCAGGACAATCTATACAATGGGATGACCAATTTGATTGGAAAATGGCTTGATCATTCACATAGATAGTTCGGGATTGTTCCGATGCTTCGGCTTGGTTGCTAATCTGCATTCGCATCTCGCAACAAGTCTGAACCACGCATGATTGGCGAAAGAACTTGTTCTGGTGGTCGAACCATTGTACCAATGATTCGCAGGTACTTGAATATAAGTTTCAATAGACAAATCCCCGATCACTCGGTCCTGCCAAATTTGATGATCGCCACGGGGGCGGAACAATCAACTCTGTTGTGCGGTACGTTTGTCACTTCTAGTTTCAAATTCAATGTAAAAGGCAGTAATAATATTTCCAAGGACGTGAAAAGACTCATATGCTTATCTTTTGCCAACTTTGCTGCCTGTGACAGCCACTATATGATGGCGTCCAGCCATAATAGAATCACATCCATGATTCGTCCCAGATCGCTACTCTTGGGGATGAGCGGATTCCATAAGACCCGAAGGCATACAATCCAGCATCATATGCTGCAGGTGAATTGCCTTCTTCCTTCGATCCTCCAGGTCGAGCTCCATCTCCCGCAGTTGTTGTGTGAGAAGACCCCTCTCACAGACGAGCCAGTCATACGAGGCTTGAAGCTTGCTGTTTTCATCCACCAGACGCATATCCTGAGCGGATTTCACAATATAACACTCCCACATAGCTAAGTACAAATCGAGAAGGTTGAGGCCTTGTGCCGCAAGGGGCCCATCGAGTTCCAGCAGTTGTCTTATCTGCACCGTCAGAGCGCCAATGGGTTGGGAGTGCTGCAGTCATCAGGATGCGTGCTAGAATAGTTTATTTTTATGACGGGAAACTCACCTGGGGCATTTTACTGGGGCTCCCGTCAAGCACCTCCGCTTTTGGCAATGAGGTTTCTCCATCCTCAGACAATTCGCGCGGCTTTTTGTTTGGACAATCGATCAATGGTTCTGGGCTTTGACAGTGCTTCCGATCCATAGGCGAGGACATCTTGCAGAATATCGTGGGGGCTCAAATATGCGGGAAATCAAATTTGAGTCATGAATGAATAGTAGCAGCGCAGTTTGAACGCTTATATATGTTTGTTTTTGGCAGTCGGGCTTTGCAAAAACTGAATGTTTGCCAAGACAGTGATCAAGGAAGTCAATTTTATATTGCAAGGTGCGGTCATCCAACGTTGAGTAAACGCCCCGGTGGACTTCAACACTTCAATCGCCGACAAACCCGATCCATGGGTGGAACAGTTGCCAAGCCTAACTTGAAAATGCTCAATTTGACAGCTTTTAAAATCTTGAATTTTGGCGTCCTCGATCTGGCCACCCTCAACATCTACAGAGGGTGACGCAATGCTCATCTAGATCTTAGAAGCATAAGATCACCCGGTTCTTTTTTGATGGGTTAAGTGCCATCCGCTAAAATACACCAATACCGCAATATTGCCTGACCCTAGGCACGCTTATCTCATGATAAGAATAAAATAGCGCCTGCCAGCCGATTTATTTTGCAGGTAAGCCTGTTTTGGAAGGATTCTAGTATGTCTAGATTAAAAAAATGGAGAACAATAACCTTTGACTTCTTCTGACCCACTCAGTAGCCTTCGGGGAAAACAGTGGACATGAGGTGAATGAAGATAGTGAGCTCAGCAATTAGAACGCAAAAAAAAAAAAAAAAAAAAAACATGATTTCTGACCTCGTGAGCAATGTTCCATGGAGCCTTACTCTGCAAATCAAGCACAATATGTAGATACCTAGAGCCAGTAAATTTTGCTATATTGAGGCCAGACAGAAGATGAGGCTCCAGCGATTGGTCAAAATTGTGGATTGAACTAGAAGTTGGGAACACGCTATTGATCATGTTAGGCCTTTCAAGTCTCTTTGCCTGTATTACCTGGAGAGAACATAAAAGCAAGCATCGCACTTCCAGTCTTACCTATCAAGTCTAATACTATATATCTTGTTCCTTATCTCTTTATTGTCGGCTTATCCCTGACCCTTGCGGGCCTATTTTAGCTTTACGATGTCGATGGAAAATACTGTATCTATTCAGTTGATAACTAGGATTATACGGGCACCTCGGATCTAATTAGGAGTCTTAAAGGAAAAACATATAATTATAAGAAAGTATCCCTATGCAACCTAGACTATTGTTAATAAGCTACTTGCCAACAGTAAAATCAGAAGTAGCGGATAGGCTGCGCTTTATGAATGTCTCGATCTGTGGCCATGATACCGGGAACAGAAGCTTAGTTGTGACTGTTCAACTCGATGATACTGGCCTGATATGGTTCCAAAACCTGTAAGGTTAGATGGCTAGTTATATAATTAACGCTTCTCTCTAAGTTAGGAGTAAGTGCACAGTTGGCTGAAAAACCACGGAGAGAGTGACGACCACTTTATCTACCACTTGAACTCTGGCTGTTGTGTGTCCTACGGAAATTCCATCCCCGACTCAAAAGAATATGACTGGACTAGCGATGGACTGCTGATGTATCTTCTGCTTTAAGTAGACCTGCGAAATATTTTGCTGTTAAATTTGTGGCTTTGCTTATAAGACTTAAATCTTTTCTTGTCCTTGAGTTGTTACTCTCAATGTTTAAATGGGCCTTACAAGATTGAAAATTGATTAACGAGATTAGTCTCTACGATATTAACTGAGCGCTCTGATCTATTAAATGGTAAGTATAGATTTGTAATAAGCCCTGGTAGCAACGATAAAAGTAGCTTTAAATTGTTCTCGGCTCTAAGGAGTAATAATATATCTGAATAGATAACTATTAGTACTTCGGTGATTTATAGCTCTAATCGATAGGATATTATCTGTCTTATAGAAAATATCTGCGAATGAAACGAGCCAAACCACTTGGCTCCAAATGTGAGCAGCTTCTTTCACGGCCACTTAATTTAATGAGATACTTGTCCTAATGGAGTGCTCCTCTCGGGGTGGCTCTTCCTCCCAAGACCCCCACAGCACCAAGTAGTTGAGAGTGTATGATCCCTTCTCTTGCACATAATGCACTGTAATAGCTTTGATTAGCCATAATTGGCCAAGCTAAAAAGACGTTAGTTTCGGCTATGCTGAACTGGAATATATGGTTGTCTTACCTCCTCGTTCTGCCTGTTGGACCAGTCCTATCCGGTCGAGTCTAGTACGCTCGATGAGTATTTAGTAGTAGTTTTATTTGGAATGACAAAGTTATAGTCTTCGGTATTTTCGGATAGAGTGTTCTTGTTTGTTGACTGTGAAGACGATTCGTCGGCGGTGACAGGTTCTTCGGGGTAGTCCGGCCAAGAAAAGGTGGTAAAAAGTTCGTTTTTCGGATGCATAGCCATTAGTTAAATGAGAGTTGGGATGAAAGCTAAGAAAAATGAAATGAATAGTAATAGAAAATGGTAGCCTGGGCCCCTTATAAGTGTAGAATGTTGGTATTGGTGGCCTGCTTTTTCGGACTGAATTTTTCTTTGTGATTAGAAATGGCTGTTGGCTTACTGAACGCATCTGTTCGCTGAGTGGCTGTTTACTGAATACCTGTTTACTGAATGCCTGTTTACTGAATACCTGTTTACTGAATGCTTGTTTACTGAATGCCTGTTTACTGAATACCTGTTTACTGAATACCTGTTTACTGAATACCTGTTTACTGAATGCCTGTTTACTGAATGCTTGTTTACTGAATGCCTGTTTACTGAATACCTGTTTACTGAATACCTGTTTACTGAATACCTGTTTACTGAATGCCTGTTTACTGAATGCCTGTTTACTGAATGCCTGTTTACTGAATGTCTGTTTACTGAATGCCTGTTTACTGAATGTCTGTTTACTGAATACCTGTTTACTGAATACCTGTTTACTGAATGCCTGTTTACTGAATGCCTGTTTACTGAATGTCTGTTTACTGAATGCTTGTTTACTATTGGCTTTTTTATTGCTTATATCTGTTTAATCAAAGTATACTAGTAAACTCAAATGGATAGCTCGTGTGCATTTCATTCAAGTAAAATATAAGCCAATACTAATCAGTTGCTCAGTCTATGGGTAGCAGCCAGGGAGCAGGAAAAAAACCCTATCCCTTCTTGAAACTTCTTGAAACTGACGCGCTCCAAGCTGAGTGATGATTCGAGGATTAAAGAAAATGACTACATTTCACTGCATTTCAGAGCATATGTCTCTACCATACATGATCATCGAGTCACCTGCCACCGTTGTCTCCTGCATCAATATCTGCAATATTTCAAAACCTCAAGGCAGGGACTCGCAATCAAAATCGGCTTCGTGAGCAGTCAGAGCTCTCTGATCAATGATAATTCGTACGATGGGCTCTAGCTGTTGGTGAGCGGAGCATGACATATGAAGTGGACATAGTTCCTCGCATGCTTCTTGGGCTCTGCACACGCGCGTAACTAGCTGGCATGTCTTTTCTTGTAGCCGGAAGATTTTCGTATAGATGGAAGTCATGGACTCCTGCGTCTGCGACTCGAAAAGCTCGTCAAGTACCATGATCATGTCTGCTGTGCTCTCTTGCAGTATTTTGAGCGCTTTGTAACATTCGCGGAGGTAGCGATTCTCGATTTGCTGCTGACCAATTTCTTGCGATAACTTAATAAGCTGTTGCATATTGCAGGGCTTATTATATGCAAAAAGTAAGATGATGCGGAGAATGAAATTAGTCACTGGACAGTTGGGGTTGACTCTATTACTGAGTTCAAGTTTCTATGCGCCTGAGATATAGTCAGTCGATACAAATATCCAAAGCCTCCCGTCAAGTTGAGTGGTTCATCCACAAACTCTAGCACACATGCTCACTCAACGGAGCGTTTTCTGCGTTTAGTTGGTGGGTCACCGTTGCGCGGGGATCAACGCTTGATATGAGCACCGAATGTCAGTGAGGAAGATTTCGAGCCTATATATTGAGACCCAGTCCGCCGTCTTCCTTCTCAGAGCAAGTCTTCTCCTCACTCCCCAATGAATACCAATCGCCTTCCTAGCTGCCTTTGCGGCGCCATCATCGCCAGTGTTGGCTTCCTCTATTTCTTGGTCTACGCAGTTCAGTTCCTTCTCTTCCATCTGCCGACCTCCCTGGATCTGGTACCCACAGCTGTGCTCGTCCTTCTCTTCGCTGTCAGCATTGCATCCTGCTATCTATATGTAGCTCTGAGCTTTGTGATTGAGATCATCACAGACGAACCACTGGCAAGTGAGAGTAGTCTAATCAAGTTCGTGGGGACTATCTCGATATGGGCTACTGCCCTGCCTACAATGGCTTTCCTACCAATTTGGTCTTGGACACAGCTCGGCTACCTTGTTGGCTTGATAGCAGTTGTACTAGGTTATCTTCAAGCCAGAAATGGACAGTCGACGCCGCGTTCCGGTACTTCTCTTGATATCCTATCCATCATCATGCTAGCGCTGATGCCAACAATGCATGCTCTTGCAGGGCCAGCGTCGTTCTCGACTCCCCTCGCTACTGCATTTGTGAAGTTCTTGGCAAGCAACATACTCGGGCTAGTCATCTACATGTTGCAGCCATTGGAGGCTTTAGGAGTTCCACATCATTGGGGGCCTAGCTTTCATGCGATGTGCTTGATGACCACCTTGGCGCTCATTGTTTATTCGCACGAGGTGATGCAAGTGCTGATTGCACGAATGGCTTAATTGGGAGCTATCTTAGCCTCTTGCATCTAGCCATTCAGCCTACATCTACGCGAAAAGGAACCGTCTTTCATCAATTGTGGCTGAGGGGCCGCTGTTACTGTGAGTTGCGGGTTGGCTTTGGAGTGTGCTGCTGGACGGAAAGCTAGGAAGTGTATGAAGAGAAAAATTGCAAGGATGTGTATAAGATATGTTTTCTTGTTATTGAATTTGTTTAGATTTCTCATTTTCGTTGTGGGTCAAAAATCTTTAGTTAAATGGAAGAAGGGACTGTTTACGTATTTCAACGTGAATACCATGGGTCGCTACAGCCAGGCACACGTCTATATTATTCATTCTCAATTGCAAGACCTCAAGACAGTCGCACTTCCATTCAAAACAGGCTTGTGTAAGATACATAAATCAATGTAGACAGGCACGAAGGAGTTCATACCCAGACAGCGGCTTCTTTTGGATATCGCAGGCCTGGGAAAAAAGTCACCAAGAGTCTGAGTCTGGCAGCTGAAGCCAGACAAATTGAGTTGCATCGAGCGACCGTACGGGTAAAATCTCCAGATGCACTGCGAGAGACCTAGCACACTCGGTGTGGCATCGGGCGAAGTCGGAGCATCCAATCGACTCGAGTCGCCTCGCAGTCAGCGGCATTACGGCTGAGCAAATGCCGACGGCGGCGATGTGTCTCTGTCTTTTGAGGGCAGGGAATGCTTTGCTTTGCTACTCGGCGTCCAATTCTTTCGCTGAAACGCAACTTTATCTTAATGCGAGAGTGGTCGGAAGGCTTCTTCCCAGGCGGAACTGGCTGGAGGGGCCGTGCGGTATGACGGGAACTGTAGGAGATTCTGGCGACCATGTTGAATTATTTTGGCTGGTTGAGACGGTGGGTGGTGCTTCTCTAGAGTTTCCCCGTCTGTAGATTAGAGAGAGTTCACTTGATGGACAAAATTTCAGAATGAGCAGCGGAACTGCAGTTAATATATATCCATAAAGAATCAGCCATACTCATCCAACCTGGCGAGGTCACTTTTGTTACTGCCATCAAATAGTGGTGAGAGTCTTGAGTGAGGATTTAGGTACACTTTTGTGAATTGTTTCACTCTTGAGCAATATCAACACCTCATGAAAGGCCAACTAACGAGCATCAACTTTTTCTGCACTGTGTAGAATCAGTAGCTGGCAAGATCACACATGTACGCGATGGATCTTCTCGTCAGCGACAGTGTGTTGGATGTATGCTAAGTCCCAGTTATTATTCGATATATTGAGAGCCCTGTCTACTTAGTCCCGTAGGTTCCATCTTATTGATGGTTTTACGAAGAAATGCTCCAGAAGGGAACTTCAGGCATCTCTGCAGATTACCACCTCCAAGAACAGAATTATTGGGCGAAAGAAAGGACCATTATGAGTTTTATTTCTTGACCTTGGAGTGACACCCAGTTGAATGAGTACCCAGAATCTGCTGCTTCAACGAAGGCTATGCGCATAAACAAAACTTTGCTCATTCTCCCACAATATCATTGCAGCCAAGGCCCTTTCAGGCAGTATTTATTTCACAAAAGAGATATTTCGGCAGTCATCAAGATCCTCAGTGAACTTCCCTGTCGGGCCACGCACCCAGCCTTCACCTCCGATAGATCCCGCAGAGACGGAAATATTCTCCTTATAGGCGAAGAAAATATGAGAAGCCTCTAGCAATTCTTGGGAAGAGCTGGGGCTGGGGTCGAGCCAGAGAAGTGAGTCGGGAATCTCTACATCCAGAACGGGGGTGGAGACTGCTCCCATCTGGCTGAGACCAGCACGGGGAGATGTTGACCCAGAAGGATAGTTTTGACGCGAGGAATTTCTCGATGCCGGGCTCTCCAATCGGTTGGAAAGATCGGACTTGGCCAAGGAGCGAAGGCGGTTGAGGACAGTAAACTCAAGTTTGAGCTTGATACTGTACACTACCGTTTTGAGGCTGATCTGAATAAAATGAAGTTTGTATTCGGCGATCAGAAGGAGAAGGTTGAGGATGAGCACGAAAGTGTTGACCATGACCAGGTGGACCATGGTGCGCCGCTCCGCGCAATCACGAAGCGCCATGACCGGCTTCATGATACGTGCTGCCTTTCGAATGTAGGTCCCGCACAAAACGAGGTCTTGTATACAGAAGCCTGTCAGTTGGATCCGATCGTAAATGGCAGCGGCTCGGGCGAAGTGAGTATTGCCCTGGCCAATGCCAAGAAACAAGATGCTCATTGGGATATGCAAGATCACTGCATTGATGACGATCATCCACAGAGCCCAGCGCATCTTGTATCTGTCGAAAACCACCAAATGCAGCCGTGAGTAGAGCACAACAGCTTGACCAGTCACCATGGCGCACCAACCCAGCAAGAATGGGATTGACATTGCAAGACCAGATGCCTGGGAGACAAACCGAACCATGGCCGCGATAGAGTGCAGCACGATGCCCCACGGGGCGACCTGCATACTCCAGAAGTACAGTCCGCGGTATCTCTCGAAGACATTGAAAGTGATGATCGCAGTTTCGAAGGCATTGTAAGCGCCGATAGAGAACATGGACACAACCTCCACAATCTCCATGTTTGCCAACAGTATGGCCCCAGCTTCGGAGGAGAGACTCGTGAGAGTGGTGTCCATCGTGGCTGGGAATTGACAATAAGTGAGTCGTACAGATTACAGCAAATTGTAGAAAGAGGATGACATACCAAAAGTTTCGAAATCAAATTGGGATGTTGGTGTTTCTTTTGCGCTACTATCTCTTGGGGCATAGCAAAGCAGTCTCTAATAAATTTGATTGAGAAGGAAATTGGGAGAGCAAATGCTTTCGTGTGCGTAGGACCAAAGGGCTTGGCATGAGGCAGGTGAGCGTAAATTACGGGGCATCCGATGTTGAGTCGACCGTTGTTTGTTCCCCAACTTTCAAGGGTGTTTGACCAACGAAAACAAGAAATGATGCTTATTTTTGCTTATGGCCTTTTCTCCTACCATGTGCAGTAAACACCCCCAGCTACGGTTACCAAACGATCTTAAGCACTTTCATAATGAATCAACGACTCTTTGAACCAGGGTAGCTATAATACGTTTTTCCCGAGGGGGCAGACAAATTAAAACCTGACCCTTAGATGAGTCAATCCGGTCGTGGTTCTTTCAAGCCAGATTCTCGCTCCGTTGTATGTACGTAAAACTTGATTTCGTCCAACCTGCTCAACCGTGCGAGATCTCCCATATTTAACGCAAATCAAGAATGCCGCGACTTGTGCAGGGGTGGTCAGATTGGGAGAAAGAAAACTTTTCACCATGGCTAGAGGCGCACGGAAGCTTATTTTGGAGCGACCTCTCTCGCGATTATTATCGCGAGTTTAAATTCAGGCGTTCTCCTGGGTCTTTGAGGGGGCATAAAGATCGTATTTTACGCCGGAAGCATTCTTCATCACACAAGCCGATCGAAAAACCACGTTCACCGGGGCCTCAGCCGTCCAATTGAGATTCTTTATCAATGCACCAATCCGAAGCCTATCAAACACCGTTCCAGCGGAGAATTGAACGATCGCTGACAGGAATTCCAGCGATATATGCTGAGGATTTATCATACATGAGCGAAGAAGAAAGAGATACATTACCTGGCATCTGGCAGTTTGTTCATCGTCAGTGCGAAGAGCGGACAGAGAATTTGAGATGTTATGCCTCCTCTGGAACGGAAATAAGAGTTAGATGACTGTCAAATGTCAATGTGTGCTATCTGTTGTCGGAGGCATATAGGAGAAACACGAATGAACAGTTAACTTTGCTCGTCAACAAAGTACTGTTCCAAGGTGATGCTTTCGCGGTGCTCAGGTGACGACAAGCCTCGCAGGCCCACGGTGATTCATCCGAGAAAGTCTAGCCGAGGGAAACGTGCGACTAGGATTAGACAGTACCACATCCAGGTTACGTATTGGTTGATCTCATCTGAGCCAGGTTCCATGAGCCGAGTGCCTTGTGGAAGTGGAACTAGACCTACAGATACCCGCTCAGTTGTGATAGAAATCGCCCGAAGAGTCGGACTTCTTAACCCAACTAAGGGGGTATCAGGACTGCAGGCCAGTTGACGAAGAAGTACTCCCTTCCAAGCTGAGTCCTTGTACTTTCTATCGCTTTTTCTATAGTAGCCGCACTAAAGCTCTTACACTAGGGCCTTTGTCAAATCAAATGAATTTGCTGTCTGCGGGAAACACAGTTCTACTAGCAGTTCGGGATGCACACGCCCACGGTTCGATGCTCCTAGTAGCGCTGTTCCGTGCTGTTTCCGGTCACATCTTTCTATACTACCAGGAAATTGACCTCGATTTTCACCAAATTGATGTCAAGCGGTTGGATCGGGCATTACGGCTCTTGCTAAGTAGGTAGGCAAAGGATCCGTTTCTGAGGCTGCATGGCTAGCGCATGCGCCGTTCCCACGCTCTAGGGCTCTGCTCAAACGAATGAAAGCCTCTAAGGCACCCTCATTGCCACTGTATCCTGAATCAGTAATGGTCAACGAGTCGTACAGAGTTTATCTCACCAAGCAAAACAGGACTTTTTGAAACCTCTGTCCCTATTCTTCATCCACCATTCCATGCACCCCAGATGTGACAAAGCACCGCACTGTATGCAGCGTAGGGCCACTGTCTCCTTTGCGTCTCCCTCATCCTCGGTCAGACCAAAGCCGCAGTGTATATCGGTGAAACCATCGCTGTGGCCTATACTATGAAGCTCTATGCCCTGCACGCCGGCCCGAATATTGGTGACGCACGATAGGAAAGCGGGATGGCCAGGCGAGACATTCCACGGGACATTATTCGATCTGAGTGTTGCAGCTGTGACAAACGACCCCATGCTCGGAGATGGCACGCTTGTAGCAGGCGTGTGGGGTGGTGTATTGGGCGTACCTGACTGGACGGTGTGATCGAGCTCCGATATCCGAGCGACTGAGGTTCTCGAAGACGAATGCGCTACCGGCGGTGAAGGCGAGCGGCCGGTACCACTGCATGGCGTCGAGTTTCGAACAGCGGCTTGATACCATCTTTGAGCTACATCGTTGGTTTCCTGGCTTTGGTGCCAACTCGCGCACAAGAAGCACTTTGCAATATCACGAAGAGAGAGCTCCAAGGTCGCCAAGTTAAGTGGGCGTCTGGCCAGGCTTGTCACCCTTTGGAGGCCCACTTGAATGACTGGTAATCTGATCTTGCTCTTGCAAGATGTGTCTTTTATAGTGAGACCGCAGCAAGTCCTGCTCTCTTGAGAGGCAATATTCATCTCGCAGGTAGTCAGAGGATCCCATTGAATGTTAGACATGGCGTGGCTGCGGGCGGATACGATAGACAATCGAGAAAAGAGGCAGATTTCTTGCAAGATACCAGGTTCGAGTCGGATATTTATAGTCACCTGGGTTGCAAGGTGATATCCTTTATAGCATGTGTATCGGATAGTTCCTGAGATCTACATTCTATCCATACAACTATGCCTGGTATACAGGCCTGATCAATCGGTATAGAGCCTTCATTTTAGTCGGCCCGATTGGCTACTAGAGCGGTAAATGAGTATTTTCATATAAGGAAATGCCACGTAAAAGATGCTGGATGCTGCTGGCTTATTTCACGGCTGAGCGTGGGAACGGCGGGAATAATCCCAGGATCGGACAAGCTCCCAGAATTTATCATCTGGATCCCAGGAGCGGGATTGGAGCACCTACTATTCCTAGTCTTGGTTCTGAGACCATTCTCCGGCTGATAGGTAACAGCCCATACGCTACTCTCCCTCACAAGCTACAGCCCCAATAAAAGGTATGTTCCGTCCCCTGTGGCCTACCTGGTTCGGCTTATGTTTCGCCTTCTGAGTCAGTGATAGACACATGGAGAACACTTCTTCTAGCTACTCTTTTCACCTTGACTATCCAAGCCCGACTTTTGGCCTCTTTCCAGAGTTTGACCTGTAAACAATTTGGCACCTCTCAGGTCTGATTTCACACCTGTCCTTTGATCATCAGGCATACGAGAACAAGATGGCGTGTGTACCTGACGAAGCCCCTCCAGACTATGCAGAGTGCATCAGGGTTTCTCCCCTGGATATTTCTTCCCACCCGTCGAGGCCAACCTCCGGAGAAAGCTTTTTTCAAGTGCCTCCACCAACAACCTCATCCTCTGAAACACCACACCGTGCTCGTCGGAGCAGAAAACTGAGAAAGAAAGTCGCAAAGGGGCTGAAGCTTGCAGTTGGTGCCACTGTAATGGCTGCTGCAGTTCCTGCTATCTGGGTTGGAAATGTGGCTTATAAGGGAGGGTAAGCTGCTCTCCAGATAGTTGCGGCTCCGGTTCTGGTTTGTGTGTTTTGCCTCTGTGTGGATGATTTTGATTACTGAGATTTTGAGTGCTCTGCACCTTGTGTTAATTTCACTGGACATTTTTGAAGATCATCTGGGGGCATTTTCAAGGGGATGGCGGACAAGAAATCTGCGCTGTCTTCGGGGTGAATTCAGGCCTTTATTTTATAAGCAGTCAATTGATCATGAAACCGTTAAAGGTATAAATTCTATGGCAGAGAGCTCGTAGGCTCCTTTGACATGTAAAATGAACGGCTGACAGAATTTCTTTCTCCACATAAGCACTGTTATGTGAGTCTGTCGCACATGAGTTACTGGATGAACTCGTCGAACAAAATCCGTCAAGTTTTGGATATTGCGTTGGAAGACTACCCGGGGGCCCTCTTGTATTCTAGACAAGGCCAGACAGGGCAAAATGTAGTCACTCTCGCTCCAAACGCCTAAATGTCTTCAAATAGTAATCAATCTAATGTGCATGCGACCAGCTGTCCGGCTAATGAAAGCTGAGTATCGGTCTCGAAAATCATCAATTTAATTGTAGACTAACATTACTAATACTTCGATCACATAGATCTGATATCCATCAATACCATCTCGACCAGTCAAGCTATCACTCACGACCTCGCGGTCGGCTATTCTCCAATCTTGTCGATCGTCGAAGCGGAGCAGTGCTACTGGCATTCCGCGTCAGCCGTGCCGACCGACGGGGCTGTTCGTGCCGTACTGGTGCCAGGGGTGACCGAGCAATGCGGCCCTGAGAAGTCGTACTATCCTCAGTGGACAAGGTATTTTCTAACTGCAAATTATGCCCCGTACCCATGTCCCGGTCTACCATCAACGCGCTGGCGGAATTAGTCCGACGCCTAATGGGACGGATGAGGGCATCTAGAGCACCATCACTGCGGCTGCTGATTGTCAGAATCCCCCCTCCATAACGTTGAAGCGATTGAACTTACCAAACACAGCAAGAGGTGTCAAAGCCTGTGTCACGCTGGTCCAGCCAGAGTTCCATGCAGGACAGGTGCGATAGCGCGTGGCATTGCTGACATCGGAGAATCACATTTTCATCGGTCGTGTCTCCATCTTCCGCCAGGCAAAAGGTGCAATGGATCTCGTTCACATCATGGCTCACAGCGAGACAGTGTAATTCTAGGTCTTGAGTTCCTGCCAAAATATTCGCGACGGACGCAATAGCGGGTTGTGCCGGCGAGACCGCCCACGGCACATTATTTGCTCGTAGCATCGCGAGAGATACATAAGGCTGGATTGCTTGCGGGTGCTCGTGCTCAGTCTCACTGGTATCATATGAGACACCGTGGTCCAACTGATGGGTTGCAGGTTGGCCCAGGTCACTTTCTTCATGGCTTAGCGTGGCCGCGTGTTCCAGCGCAACGTGGCTGCCGAGCTGATTGCGAACAGCGGCATCATACCAGCGTCGACTGGCCTGATCAGCTTGCCGATCTCGATGTCATCTGGAGCACAGAAAGTAAGTTGCAATGTTGTGCAATATCGGCTGTAGGGTCTGCGCATGAAAAGGTGCTCGAGCAAGGCTTCTCAGCTTCTTCTTTCCCTGCTTGAGCATCTTTGCAGAGATCCTATTCTTATAGCGAGCACCTTGCTCTGTGATGCCGCAGCAGGTAGCCTGGTGGGCCAGATCCTCACCAATCTCACAAACACTGACTGGGCTCCAAAAGGTAGACATGGCGAAAAGGCTAAATGTAGTATAGATCGATAATCAAAGATGAGACAAGTAGCAGGCACAGAATTTATCACAGGGGTCTGCAAGTGCCTTCTAGTTTTTTATATTTCCTCCTGCTCCTGCCTAGTATGGAATGTGCGCTAGAGGGTAATCCAGGAGTCGGGCTAATTGCATGGTCCAAATTGCTCTAATAGACTACCTGCAGGCATTCCAGTCCATCGAGACAGCGGATTGCACCAACTAGCCTACGCATTAGATGCAAATAGATTGGCCCACTTTGAGAAGCTTTTGTTGAAATGCGAGGAATCCATGGCGTCCCGCGCAAACGCAGGGCTCCAGGAAGAGCATGGAGATTCCTAGGAGCACAAAAGTTCCTGGGAACAGCCTGTCTGTTCCACAGGCCTCATTTTCCGCGGTTCTAACCCAACCGAACTCCATCTAGCTCAAATGTAAAGTAGAGGATCAGCCAGAAGAATGCACACTGCTTGAATGTGGTAATCATAGCACCTCCTATAAATACTCGGTCGGGCCTGCGAGTTCGAGCATTGCTCCTCCATCGACAAATTTGTTCGGCGCCTCCATCATCTCATCCGAAACAGCCTCTCACTACATGTCGGAGATGTCGCACCAACTCCATGCCATCGGTTGGTCATCTTATTCCAGCATCAGTGCGGCTGCTAACTTCCCATTCTAGCAGGCTCTTTGCCGTCATACGAAGAGTGTCCCGCTGCTCATTGCTGCAGACTGTTTATTCAAAATGCACTGTTCTTTGCAATTGCTCGGGGAGATGTGCAGGCCGTGATTCAACTCCTTCAGCACGACATCCATGTCAACAGCAGCGGACCGAGGGGCCAGCCCACGTTCTTCACGGCTCTAGAGTATCAACAGCACGAGATCTTGAAGATCCTCTTGGGTGACCCGCGAATCGATGTTCACATCACAGATGGCCAAGGTCACACTGCGCTCCATCTGGCGGTGATATACGACGATCATCTTGCAGTCCAGATCTTGCTGAATTCTCGATCTGTCGATGTCAATCGCCCCGACTTTGCAGGGGACAGCGCATTGCTTCTCGCGGCCAAGACATATAGTGGCTTCGAGCCCAGACGCGACGCGATCCTTGAGCTGTTGGTTTGTCATCCACAATCGATGGTGGGCCAGCGCGATGCCAAAGGCCGCTCGCTCTTGCAATATGCAACTTTCACACCGAACCAGAGGCTGATCGCGCAGTTGGCGTGAAGCTGTCTTCATTGAAGGCCCTGGAAGCCTTGGGTCTTTCCCCTTAGGTCAGAACACAAAAGCCGGGCTGCAGAGGGACGGCATGAAGCGACCGTGCCACGAATACCCACAGAGCCGGAAGTAGTTGGAATATGACTAGACTAGAAGGCCATGGCGCTATGTTGAAAGGCCAATTCCCTCGTCTGTTTGAGGCTTTTGGGAAGATGCCGGGCGTGGGCCGACCGCAGAGTGACGGAGTCTCCACGTGGCCCGCCTTTCACCAACCTGACCAACCTTAGGAATACCAGACTGCATGACAGAGGAGTATCTATACCCAAGTGCCTCAGAAGTTCTGGAAGATCTGCAAGATCTGCAGTTGCGATCAAATTCGGAGATCGAGGTTTTCTCATTTGTTAGAAATCGTGATGTATTATACCATAATGATTGCCTGAAGTCTGAGATATATATTTCGTATGGCTTAGTGTTGAGGAATTTTACAACCCAATAAACAGGGCAGAACTGTGTTTATTAGGGAAATGAGTTGAACGAGGATAAATTTTCGTACTTTCTAATCAGAATTTCGATGTGAACAGACCACATGCAAGAATTAGAATGATATATATCCAGGTCCAGGATTTAGAAAACCCGACAGGGGGTTCAACTGAAGTTGCCGAGTCGAACCCAAAAGCCACCATGATTGGTCAGACTGCCTACAAGTGGACTATTTCACCGCCTTTTCCAATCCAGTCTTCTTGGAAGATCTTATCCACTGGGTGCCCCTTGTCTCACATGAGTAACCGACGCGGTGTGTTTTACCTCATCAGTCCCTGTCACTCGCCGCGACCGCCAGGATGATTTTGATTGCTTAAAAATGACAAGCCGACGGACCATCCTAAGCCGATCTTCAGCACTGGAGCCGCGCCAATCAGTCGCCACCGGAATAAGATGTGAGGGGACAAGACGAGGCAGGAGATTGACATCAGCCCACCACAAAACCTTGTTGGATCTGTGCATGTCAAACAAGTCCGGTGAGATGCTTGCGAATCACAAAAAGCGCTTTTGGAAGCATATTTCAGCCCTCCTTCTCCCGAAAACTGGTCGACTCTACTCATGGCAATCCTGCCGTCGCCAAGCCACGAAGTGGGAATCCCAGCAAAGCCATGCTCAAAACCTACCTCGTGACACTGCTGCTGCGCCAGAGATCCGATTTGAAGCTCCCGGGCCTCCAGCGCCTCATGGCTCAATAGCTCTGCCTCCCATCTCTCACCTGAATCTCTGTGTCTTTTGGCCTGCCTGGGAACCCCCTCTTGAAGACTCGAGCGATGATGAAATGCTTCCCGCGGTCAATCTGCCTCCCGTACGCACTCGAAGTCATCAGGCATCAACTCTTGAGACTTTCCACAGCGACCTGAACTCACCAGTCTTGACTGCTATGCAAAACTTTGAGGTGCAGCTTCGAGTGCTCACTTCCACACTCGCCGACCAAAATATACATGTCCTTGCCATTGAAAATGCGTTTCAAAATTTAAAACTCGAAATATCGAACTCGTCAGTGACACACAATGAAGGGCCTTGAACGATAAACAAGCGATGATTGCGAAATACCGCCGGGGGTAAAAGCTCAGAACAGACGAAGCGTCACCTCTTGAGAAGATTCATTTACATTCCTGCCTGTAGCTCAGCAGTGGTCCATATTGTGTTCTTCGAAGTTGCTGTGCACATTTTACAAGAGCTGTACCTACTCTGTTATTCACTGATTGAGTCGTGAATTTCAATCGAGCTGATATACCTATATTCAAATTGACACACCTGCAAATCCTGGCCCTCAAGCTAAAGGAACTTAACGCAGGCAATGAGAATGAGTCTGTTAGCTAGCGCAACTCCCACTGTGCATTGTTGTCATGAGTGGTCATAACACAGACGAATTGAGAGGCTTTTCAAACCCCAAAATGGAGTCGCTTTATCAAATTACTGGATCCTAATTTCGTATCAAGGATTCATAAATATGCACCTTAATGTATGTTCTGCGTAACAAAATTCAACTACAAATACTTACAGAATATTTGTATTAAATGACGTTTCAGTCAAATTCTGACCGGACAAGTGCTTGAATCCCCGGAAGGGAGACCAATTTTGTAACTAGCAACCATTGCATGTTACTGTTGGTGTGGGCTTAGCGCGATAAGTGAATTGTTGATGATTGTTTATGGGTAGTGGCGACAATGCCAGCATTTGAGATACGATTTCTCACTCGTTTATATTCATGCTTCTGCTTATTATGTACTATAGAATCCAGCTAGGCCACCACTAAATCCCGTCTTGCATACAATGATTAGTTGCAGGACTCCCATTCCAGTGACAGCATCACGCTGTATACGAGATGAAAGGCATGAGACACTTAAGGGGTGATTTCCCTGGGGCCTTCATGCGATGACTCGGATGTATTATCAATCAGCACAGCCGAATCGCTACAGTAACCACAATCGGAACAAAAGGGAGGTATATAAGAACTTATTCTCACAAGTTATCGCCGCAAAATGTCTAGTGAGTGTGATCAGTAGACACGGCAACTGTGAATTTGCACATCTTGGGCTTCTCTCATTTGTCGAGGGATAGAAATCTGGTTTGATGCGAGTTATACTTGTCCTTGGGCTATAGATTGCTCTGTGCATCGACCTTGGCAATCGCAGCCTGGCCTTCAATAAGTGTTCCGCTACTGCATAACGCATTGACAGTTCGTACTCGGCGAATTGAAAGGGCGTATAGGCACCGCCATTATCCTAACTTAGAGATGATAATGGCCTGGCTTTGGTGTCAGCTTGATGCAACTTTCAAACAATCGAGTTCGTCTTGAGTCACTGGAGATGGGCTGCAGTCGTCATGCGCAGTATCTGCATTGTCAGCATAATACCACATCACTCTGACTGAGAGAACTTTCACCTCGGAAAGCCTCCCGCTTGTATCCTGAAAAGGTATCTGAACAGACACTTGAAAGTCAGTAACGCCAACAATGTAGTGGTCAGGGGCCTTGCTTCAAAGCAGCGACGATGACTTCATCCAAGAGAACAACTGTAGCAGGACTTTTCACTCTCGATTACATCAGGACGTCGTTCTCGCTGCATGTGAAGCTACATATCAAGCCAGAAATTGTCTCCGGGTGCTCCCTTGCTATCCCATAGCATGAGAGACAGAGCCCTTCATTGTCTCGAGCGTGAACCTAGATTATTACTCGCACCTTTTCGAACGGTGATCCCCAGTGGTGTTCAACCTGGTCTGTTTTAAAGTCTTCGGGTAGTTCCTTGCGCATCCCAAGTAGAACGGGATGGCAACGGATTAAACTTGTGGGGATAAGTTCCTCGGTTTGATTAGGCCCATTCTCGTTACGATGATGCATGTACTCAATGCGAATGTTTGGTTCATTCCTTGAGCGCCCTCGAGCCGGGGGGCGGGGTCCCCCAGAGACTCCCTTTACGGGGGTCGACGAGGCAATTTCCAATTGCCGGGGGTGCCCCCCAAGGCGACGGGCAAGATTCGCCGGTCATTCTCGATTTGTCCTCATCTCTCATGCTCCTACGCGGAGGATCTATTGCGCGTCAACCAGTTACATTGGCGCACTGTTCGTCAGCCTCCTACTCATCAAGGCACTTGAAACCAAGTCGCATATCACCTTTTCAGCCTGTCCTGTAGCCATACTCACTGCTCTGCCCAAGTGATTGAGCTCAATATATGGGAAGTTGCAGACTGAGCCTAAGCATTCTATCATTCTGAAGATGCCCTTGGACCTACTCTCTATTCCCGGTTCCGTCGTCTTCTTGTAGCCGACTACTCGAAGGGATGTCGGGGCTCCACTCCAACTTCTCGGTACGATATCAACGACTTATGACGTGAAGACGTCCGTATCGATCCTAGCCGTGTGCAAGCAGATGATCGAGAAAGGGCCTTAGTCTTCCGCTCGCTGAGCCATCGCTGTCAAGGTCGCATCATCCCCAGGATTTGAACATTGATAACCAAGAATCTTTCAGAGGCACAAGAGGAAATTGCGTTGCTGATTCCGAAGTGGAGCATTCATTGTTGAGAGCTTGATAGGTGATGTGAAGTGTCTGAATTAACTTGGCTGCATGGCTGAGGCCAAAGGCGACTGTTGTTTAATTACCAACCACCAGTATGGGAAGGGGAGTGATCGACAAATCCGAAGCTGAAGCGCGAATGCTCTTGAATTCTATGGGCTGCACAAATTGATGATGGCTGGATACTAGATGTAATGGTATGCAGAGGTATGACGGGACCGCGGGAATGTGGGCGTCTTGCCCGTCGCCTATGGGGGGCACCCCCGGCAATTGGAAATTGCCTCGTCGACCCCCATAAAGGGGGTCTCTGGGGGGACCCCGCCCCCCGGCTCGAGGGCGCTTGGAAAATGAATCAAATACGGGCATGGGCGATGAACATCCTCCTAATGGGCGAGGTCGATTTTTCTGGAAAAGTGATGTATCTGGAAAAGTGATGTAATACCAAGTCATCAGCAGTTGTGCACACGTGGCGCAGGCATCCCCCGCCCGTCGTGAAAAGAGCGTGTATTGCGACAGTTAGACAAAATATCGCATTCCAGAAGGCCGAATTCAGATATCCAGGCGTCAAAAGCGGTGGTCGGTAGGGGAAGAATGGCCGGGCAACGCGTGAACGCGTGGTGCATATTTACCACCCGCAACCTCAGCTAGCTGTTAGCACCACCGTAAAGCCACGAAGAGGCCTTATCGAGGTCCAGCGGACATTTGGGCTGATCAAGATATTCCGCATCTGGACTAGTGTTTTACAGCTTCTGCCTTTCACTTGCCCTCGCCGTGTAAGCGCCTTCTATGAAGAATTGAATGTGCTACGGGCACATACCACGAGCACCTTTGAACTGAATTGACAACTTACTGAATTGATTTTTCCCCAAGGAGTAAGCACACGGTGAGTTGATTCCAGCTCGGAAAGTCGACTTGCATAAGCCGATTTTCGCCAAAGGACAATCTCCAAAGTCACGGCATACTCCGGTCGCACAGCCTCATTTGACGGATTGATAGCATCACGCCATACAGAGTGGATCACATGGTTATGAGACCCATGGAGTCCGTTCCTAGTAGGTTTATTGTGCTGCTCAACCTTTCTCGAATGGCTGAGTCGCTTGGAGAAAGGATTGGGCCGACAGGATAGGGCTGCTGGCCTGACTTGCTCGCCAGAGCGAGTGCATGTAACCAGACTGAGATGGCTGAGACGACAGCACCACATTTGACACGTCTCTTTCGGTGGCAACGGCTTCGAGGATTCCATGCACCTCCTCTCGACATACAAGGCGGTGTTTCGGATCCGGGCTCAGTCAGCATTGATTATTTGGTATCCACAGTCAAGACGAAGGGGAAAAATGAGAACTTTTCAATACTAATGACCATCGCAGCGATGTCTTGCCGCTCTGTGGTGGTTCTACATGCTTCACCATATGGCAACTGTGAGACAGCATCATATCTGCCCATTGCATTTGCCCAATAGATGATATTCTCATTCGAAGTCATATATGCCTATATGCCCTTGGTCCCTGATCGTGGGCTGGTATTTGCGTCTTGGTCGCTGGCAATCACTGCTTGTGTTTCGATATTTGATCCTCTGAGACACTCACTGGCAGCTTACCAGGGGTGAGTTGAAAAGACAACTTAGGCTTTCCTGGCTGTCTAGAGTAGTGAGGCTATTAGCTCGGCATTTGATGTCAGTCTGTATACAATTCCCACGTCCACCACTCCGTCGATCACCGAGATTTCGAAGGAATCAAACGGGTGGTTTTGAGAGGGAGAATTGATCTTGGATAAAAGAAAGGACCGGAAATCGACCAGGGGCTTCGAGTTGAAGCGGAGGGCACAAGATGAAATTTTTTCGATCATTGTTGAGGGCCTCGATGTTTGTGGTGCTTCGGTCAGTCTCGCACATCTGCTTTCGTCCTCTTTCTGGATTAGGAAACTCTTGAGTCGTATCGTTGAGGCGAGTGAGTCAGCCGTTCTTGCGCTAGCGAAATACCCGTGGTGAGCCTCCGCCGTGCTTTAGGTGTACCGATGAATAGAGCAATACATGCCGACTTTCGATGACACTTCCACCATCGAGTTGTATCCCGCCACGACAAATAGGCTGCCTTCCATCAAAGCAACCCTTGTTCCCGCGCTTGGAGGTGGCCCTCTCGGCTTGAATGATCTTGATCAGAAACCAGACGGCGAAAGGTGGCGTCGTACGGAAAGTCTCGTGTGCGATGATGGCAAATAGACCGATAGATGTTCCACTTTACCTCGGAAAAGGGCAGGCGATTTCCCCAATAATCTCTATGCACTGAAAGCCGCCTGGTCACGTACAAACATCTCGCAAATACCCGAGAATGGATTTTGAACATCTGGCAATAGGTCCCTCTGTAGACCCGCCTGGGAGAATCGTGCATCACAGATAGTAGAATCACCCGCCATGAGTAGGAGAGCGCCTTCCTTGCCTGGTCTCTCCTTCGATCGAGAGTTACCGCAGTGAAACCACTACCGAGGTCATTTTGGAGCATAGTATACAAGT